CTTCGTTTCCTGCAGAGCGATAATGTGGTACTTGATGTGCTCTGCAGCGTCGAGAAGAGCGTGGAGGTCGACGCTTTGTAGAGACTGTCGTGGCGTTGTAGGTGCAGAGCATGAGGCAGTCTCCATGGCGTGTCGTCCGGGCAGACGTGTCGTTCTTGTCCAATCCGAAAGGCGCCCTGAGTACTCTGACATCGTTTTTATGAAATTACATAGCCACAGTGTTTAGCAATCTCATTAGTCGAGCTGTGTGTATGTTTGAAAAGTTGCTTATCTGCTTTTTTGGTACAAAGGAAAACTGTTCTGCTGTTAGGCACCCAACATCGACCTAACTGTAGGCCTGCGCTCGGCTTATGCCCTCGAGCTCTTTTTCTGCTGTCGTTCTTGGCTCTGTCAAAAACGATAAAGGTTCCATTCCTATCCCTGTACAACCCTTTCCCTGTGCACCCTTCTACATGTAATTCCTTACTCCCGCTGTGTTAGTAATCAGATGCTCAGCTACCTCCCTCACCAACCCCCAGCCCCGTGGCTCAAAATTCGCAAAAAAATCGATAAAACAGGGAAAAAAGTGTAAGTTTAAAAACTGATGGCGCTATTCGGCTATCCGTGCCCCAAAATGTCTTTGTGATTGATCTTGTTCAAGTCTGTATACGGGGGTTATTCGAACCGCTGATGACGAATATCATAGTCATTTCGCGCGATAGCGCCATTTCTGGGTTTACGGTGGGTACACGTAAAAAGTTGAAATCATGGATTTTGCTCAAACTTTGCTTAGGGGCTAATTGTCATGCTGATTACCAATATCACTCTTTCGGAATTTTGGGGCGTTTTCGCTGAGTTATGGTAGGTATACTGCAGAGGAGCAAAATCTCATTTTTGGCTGAAACTGGGTCTAGAAAGATTCGACCTTCTGACCACGTTTAAAACACTCTCGTTGCGTTTTGAGCCTTTTCGCAGAGTTACGGTAGGTACATGGCAGCGGGTAATAATCATGAACCTGCCCGAATCCTTGGCAGAAGGTTACCTAAAGTGCTGTATCAAAACATCGTACTTAATCCCCACGAAAAGCAATTCGTGTGTTATAGAAGGTTTCCCACGACCGTAATGCTTCCTCACCCTTCGGCGACTTTTGCCTAAACAAAGAACAGGGGAGGGGGAGATGCCGCGTGCGTTACGCGTTGGGACAGGCTATCAGGATGGCGCTGTTGACCGCCATGCAAAATGACCGTTTCTTTCGTGAATATCTAACAAGGGAATGGTCAGAAATCGAAGTGACCAATTTAAGCAAGCTGCAGTCTCTTAAATGCAGCATAAAACGCTGACTCCAAATCTGTCTTCCTTATCTGCAGACCACTTTTGTGGATGAAATTATGAACCGTTAAATGCCATTATGCTAAGAAATTGTGGCAAACTTGGCCGTACAGAGCAAGGGGCAGTATAGAGCAAAGGGCAAACTTGGCCGTACAGAGTAATTCCTGGCTCAGGGCTAGACCAAAACCTGCAGCTAGGTCACTTCATATGAGCAGTACCTAAAGGTGAGCGAAAAGGGCAATAATGTGCTTAATCTCGCAATTTTTGTACACGTTGTTTTAAAAGTCGAAAAGTGTACATTTGAATATGCGATGTGTCAAGCATATGCTAGGATAAATGTGGAATTTTTTGGATTTTTTGGGTCGGAATTACGATTTTTGAAAGATTTCGTTTTCGACTACTATAAGATTTCAGCTCAAAACTTCATGTGGGATATGCTTTAGGCAGACTTTTGATAGCCATCTTGTAGAGCTTGCTTTGCCCTGTCGAATGATTACTGAAGCCACATCAGATGAAGAAAAGATACAAAAAGACGGCGGTTGCAGGAAAAAGGTGAAAAATTATGAGACACCCTAATAGTTGTCTTGCTGCAAGAATTGTGTCATGATGATTTTGCTGCCGGTATGACCAGAGCTTAAAGCAGAAATGAGGTGGTTTTGTGTTCGATTCACTATTTGATCTTGTGGGCTAAGTTCTTTTCTGTGGGAAATTTGAAACCCAGACCCTTTTTTCGCACTGTCTACGTTGAAACATTAGCTTTTCTGTAGAAATTGGATTGTGCGTTTGAAAACGTACACTCAGGATTTCATTATATTAGGTCGTTTCATTAGTTCAGAATTTAGACTAAGTGTTTTTCTAATGCGCAGTGTCAGCTTACCGTTGAGTTTTCATTCCGTCTAATCAAAGCTTAACGCGTATGGTCTCGAAAAAGTCATCTAACCAACGCCTGGAATCTTCTTCAAAACCAAAGAACTTTGACAACGTTTGCCCTGTGGAGTTATGTTCTTCCATGAAGGAAAATTTACTGGGCATGCTTATCAGCTCTTTCGCTGTAGAGGTTTGTCGAGAGGTGCACATGGGTTGCTTACGGCATGATCTACCGCTTTCTTCCTGAATAGCAATTTTCAAAGCAGATAACCAGCACGTCGAACGAATGGTCTTGTTAGGGGACACCCTCTCTAACCCTCGTTTTTGAGGTTATCCAATCATATAGCTGGCATACCCGGTTCCGTCCGGACCTGTCAATACACCATGATAGATGCTGTAGTCCTTTACTTGAACTTGTACTTGTGGTGGGTTCGGGGCACTTGTAGAATAGTAGATTTATTAGTAGACCGGATATGAATAAGAACAGAAGGTGAGACGAGACGAACGAATGAATGAATGATTTAGCTAGCAAGGAGCGCCTTATATAGCGCTCAGATCCCGCGCTTAGGTCATTGCAATACCAATAGATCCTAGAGATCACAAGACAACAACACAAAACAGAACAACAAATGTTACTCTCCAACAATATAAATACACTATTTCTAAACAACATTTTCTTGTCCCGGTCCCAACTTACTCTATATGCCGCTATCTTTCTTCCTATATTTTCGTAATCAGCATCTCACTTACCCTCCCCCCCCCTACCCTCCTCTCTCCCCTTTGCCAACTCCCAGCACGGAGCTCAAAATTTGCAAAAAACCCATAAAATTGATGAAAATAACTCATAAATCTAAAAACTACGTAGAATTATTACAAATCGATTTATGATGCAAAATATTGTTTGAAAGAACAAATCAAGAAAAATCAAGTGGTCAAGTCTCTTTATTCGAGTATTCTGATTACGAAGTAATGCAGGAAGGAAGAATAGTCACATTTTTTCATTACCTTTTCGAAAAATCATACATAAAAACGAACAACTGCGTGTACAATGTATTTGGCACTCACACAACAAGATTCAAATTAAGCCACTGGTAAGACCATAAATGGTCGAAATCAAGCAATATGATTACTCAAAAGCTGATCTTCGCGCGCATATACTCAGAAATTCTCAAATTTTTGGCTACAAAATTTGACAAACAGCAGGTTTACGATCCCTTTTGTGGTTCGCCATGTACCCAAAGGCTACGTATTCACACCTCAAATCACTCATCTGTGCACTCACTACGGGCTTAGAACGAAACTTAGAAAATTTCCCTAAACTAGCGGTTCTTAGCAGACCACTAGTTTAAGGGCTCTCATGGAAAAGGCTTTAGTCTACTGAATTTTTTCATAAATTTTCTCGCTACATGTCAGGGGAGTGCTACCTCGTTTTGCTCAATTTGATGTTTTTTTTAAATCAATTTCGTTGAGGTACGAGAGCATTTGAGACGGCTTAAAAGATGAATGTTTTTTTTTGCGATAACAAAACAGTTCAAAAATCTACTACAACGACATCAGCTGCTTCAGCAAACTTGCTGTTTGTTCCCGCCATGCGAGTCAGCTAAGAAAGAACAGAAAAGATGGCTCAAAGTGCATTGCTCCCGCTTGTTTCCTCGCTTAGATGATAAACCTCAGCGCAATGCTCTGTTCAAATATATGTAAATTGAAACAGGATGACATTCCTGTACTGATGTTGTTCATTTCAGGAAGAGTTGAATCGAAGACGGGATCGTTGTTGGTTAGGCAACAGAAACTTACGCTTGTTAACCAACGCAAACACTAAAGATTGTGAACATAGAGATGACATGAATTCTTTTGTTAATGCCCTTTTAGCCCACCTTTAGGTGTGGACCATATAAAGTAACCTAGCCCATGTTTTGCATTAGTAAAAAGCCGATAGCGCTGCACGGCCAAAGTTGCTTCTTACACGTACGATTTCTTATCAAAATAACGAATCTTAGTAAATTCATAACTTCATCCATGAAAGTGTCCAGTAGATAATGAACAGATTTAGAATCAGCATTTTTTCTGCATCTAATAATATGCAGCTTGTTTGGACTGGTCACTTCGATTTCTGACCAATCCTTTTAAGCCACAGGAAACGCGCTATCACGGAGACTTCGCATCGTATGCCCTGTTGTGCAAAAGTGCCTTAAAGTGGGCGAAACTGCAGAAATGTATGTCGTTCTGCATTGCTGTAAAAACACAATTTATTGTCAACTGGTCACACGTGCTATGCCATGTGTCCACATTTGCCTAAACGCTGCCTTCAATAATTTTTTCAATTTATTACAGTGATGGAAATGTCAACGGTGTCCCATACTTCCATCAAATTTCAGGCCGAGCCCATGCTGTGTGGGAGGTGAAATATGAAGATCGTTTGTTCAACCAAAGGAAGTAAAAGAAGCTACGTTAAAAGTGTAGGTGGAGAGCAGGGTTCGGCGCGAGCTGGCACTAGGGTAATTTAAAAACGAAGTCCTTTTTTAGAAAAATTTTGTACGAAGTCCCCTTTGACCTCAAAAACGAAAGGTCGACTAAGAAAACGTCGCAATTTTTGCGTTTTTTTGGTCACAAAACGATATTTCCTTTGCTTTTTGTTCCAAAAATGATATATATTTTGACTCGGTGCCAGCTGTGCCGAGCCCTGATGAGAAGCTATAGCAACATTGGAAAGTACTTCAGTGTAGAATGTTGGCTGTTTGGTTTGATGGTTTGTATGTATTATGTCGAGCACATTCGTTATTGCACATTTAGCTTTTTATTTACCTTTTCTACAATTACCTCAGGTAATTGTAGAAAAGTATGTAGGAATCACGTGATAAGTACAATAAAGTTGACGAGGTTTGCAATTTCGAACAGCACAAACAGCGCATATTCGGCTAGCCGATGTAGTTTACTTTCCAATTTCCTAAAAAGTGAGAAATATTGAGCTCGTATCGATACGTTTGCTCACCTCTTGGAGCTTGCCGTGCTGCTTTCCCCAAGACCGGAAAGAAATCGCTTGACATACGGTAAGACAAGCGTTGTAGTGAGCGCAAATACCATTATTAGAAGATTCCCCATAATGTAGATAGCTGAAATGTTATAAATTATAAAGTAAATTTCAAATGAGAACAAAATCCGAAAATAATAGCCGCTAACCTATTTTTGGTAATCCTTTAGTTTTTGGCAGTGCTGTTGCGAGGATTCCCAATATAAACGTCAACGACATTATGTTAGTCAGCGCCATACCAAGCTACAAATTGTTAAGGGATTAACATTGCACAATTGAAAGAAAAAATATACCTTTCCCATGCTGTCTGCCGATTTTAAGAAAACACCAAAAATTGACAGTATGTTGATGACGAAGGACGGTGTGATAATCATGGTAATGTAAAACGATGGACTCCTTTTCATCAGAATAACAAAACTGCTCTGAAACAAATCCTTTCAGTTTTTTACAAGGTCGGAAAATCATTGTTCTGGTAGAGCAGTTTCTGACCATAACAGCGAAGGATAGAACAGCTAAAAAAGTGTTGCGGCGTTTGAATAAGAGCTCTCAGGGACTCGCACCGTGCGGGCGGCCAGCGACGAACTTACAATCGCTCGTTGGTGTGTGCGATTGTACGGTCGTCAAGGGCCGTTAGCACGGTTAACGTGGGGCACCCGCACGGTTTCTAATGCTCGCCGCTTGCGCGGGGAAGGTCGGCCGCTCGCTTGCCGCTGGAGTAGGTTTATATGGGGTATTTTAACCATTTTTCTTAGGTATGTTAAGCATTTTCACATCCTGGGAACACGGACCAATGCCTGCCGCACTACCCAAACTTTCCATGGAGAAGCCCACACCATCACTCTCAATAACTGTAGCCTCACACAGGTTCATTCCAGCTTTGCGGTGAAGGGAAATGTTGATAACACGATAGTCGACGCTTAGCCAGCCTAAACGCTGCGTCGTATCTCATGCAGGTACCGTTTACGCTCACAGTGTGTGAAAACAATGAGCCGAAGGTAGAGGTCACTGTTGGCCGCTTGCACGGGCAAATGTTTGCCGCCCGATCGAACGGACACATTGCCTGCCGCTTGCTCGGTCGATTTTATTGCGTACCGATTGCGCGGCGAGATTGCCTGTCGCTTGTACGGTCAAGTGATTGCTGGCCGATCGTGCGGACGCATTGCCTGCCGCTTGCACGGTCGATTTTATTGCGTGCCGATCGAACGGGTAGACTGTCTTCCGCTTGCACGGCATTTTTATTGTTAACGGTACATCAAAAATTATGCAGTGCGCTCAAGCGGAGGAGCTTTAATGAGGACCGCCCGCACGGCGCGAATCCCTGAGAGCAAAAGTCTAACAGAAGATTTATCTCACTTATCTTGTACTAAAACTGATTGTGTGTCTGTCTGTCTGTACGATGTGCGAAATAGAAATTTTTATTTCTGAGTCGATTTGGACCAAACTTGGCACACATACACTTCGGGGCAGGTAGCGTGTCATAGGCTGCTTTTCGTTATCGATCGATATCGATTTTATCGATTTTTTCCAAGGTTTGAGTTACACAGCTGGGAGTTGGCACAGGGGGGTAAGTGGATATGGCGATTCCGAATATAGTATTAGTTTCCAGAATTATCGATTACTTTTATCGATTTTATCGATTTTTTGCAAAGTTTGAGCTACAGGGCTGGGAGTTGGCACAGGGGGGGGGTAAGTGGGCATGCTGATTTCGAAAACAACACAAGGAACGGGAAATGAAGTGTAGAAGTCGGCAGGAAACGCTGTACAGGAATAGGGATGAAACCTTTATCACAGTGTTTTGACAGGGCCGAGGAGCCGGGTAAGAAGCCAGTTTCTTTATATTTTTCACAGTCTAGTCATACTAGCACTGGTACAGCACGGCAATGTAGTATAATCATTAATGTTATATTTATAACATATTTGATGTGATTATACCATTGGCATTTTATAATTTTGGGAAAATACTTGTCAAAAGGTCCTAATTGGTTTGGTCATCTCTCGTTTGAGTTACGGTAGCCAAAATGAAACCAATTACGTACTATCTCGACAGGATCCTCATATCCTATATCATGATGCACTCTCATCGTTGTCACATTTTTGATTCTCCATTCTTCATTACCCTAAATTAGATAGGTAATTTTCAGAAAATTGTTTGCAGCATGCAAAAATTACCATATTGTCAAAAGCAGTTTTGTTGTTCAGCAGAGCCGGAGCAAAGGCAAGCTTGATACCGTACTCACGCATAGAATACAGTTGAGACATCATATTGATTGCGCATTCCTGACGATCGAATGGAAAATTTTGCACCTGTAAGGTTTCTCAAGATTTGCATCAACTTATTTACTCAAAACTCACGTCTAATGCGCAAACTGTGGCTGTACGTGTTGATACGAAGAAGAACACATCGCCTGATGAGTTCAGCTGAAATGCGGTTACGTTCATCTGGGTATATGTTGTGTATAGAACTGATATGAACAAATTTGTTGTAATCATCTCGGTAGTCCGCAGAAGAATGTCTGAAAATGATTATGGATTCCTTGTGATAGAAGAGGACTGTAATCACTGCATTGCTAAAGTAAAACGTATGACCAATGATGGCCGTATTAAAGGTCGCAGTACCGCTTTTGAAAAGCATACTTGATCTCACAAAAGCTATGATGGTTTTAGTTCACCCAAAGCAGCCCGAAACGCCATTTCCAAAACTGTCTTTTACAACTGCCGGGAATCTGGGAGGGGAGCTTTGATTTTGCAAGGAATCCGAAAGGTCTAGTGTAGTCAAAGCTTTCAAACCCTAAGCATATTAAGTTCAAACCTGAAGATCAGCTTATCTATGCTTAATATTATTCAAGTCGTTTCGTACCTTATTCTTCAGCTTACAACGAGGGCAACTTTGAAATCATTATTACGACAGGTCCTTGCAGATTTTGACTTCCTCTGTGGAATCTAAGTGGAACGAAAAGAACGGGAAATGTTTTTGATACATCAGCTTACGTTTAGCTATCGCTTTTGAGGAATTACTCACGAGTATAATAAACGATAGGCTCCATTTCTAATGATCGCATTAACTTGCTAGGAACTATCTTGACACCTTCATTTTTTTTAGTCTTGGGAGGAAAAGTGCGAAAACGCCTTGACTGGAGTATTTCTGAGTTGTTTAGGAATCCAACTTAAAAAAGCAGGAAACCAAGAGAAGTTCTGATTTGATGTTTCAAAGAACTTAGTCACTAGTCATCACTCACGCATCAACAATTGTGATATCAGGAATCCAAACATCCAAGCGCGATACATATATATTATCCAAACCACAGTAGTCTTCAGGGTTCCATTCAAGTCGCTCATCTCTCCATTTCTGTGAATTTATCAAAATCAAGCGAGTTACATGGTTTTCATTTGTAAATGCAAATTATGTAAGAACTTACCATGGAGTATTCAAAGAGAAATTCGACTTTTTGTTCCGGCTCAACCTAGAAAATGAAAGATGGGCATATATTCTCATAGCGTTTATCAGCTGACCATCTGAATTAACTTCATATACACGAGCGTAAGCAGGACTTCGAATCTCGGAAAATTTCCATTATCGGCAGTTGAATTGGGCTCTGAAATATAATATGTTGTTAGACAAAAGCAAAGAGATGAATTCTCGTCTATATTTACCTTGCATTGCAATTGCTGGAAGCTTAGGAACATAGTCCTTAAACAGCGTATTGTGTAGTCTTAGTTGCTCATTGAAGTAACTTTTACGGTCTAAAAAGATTTGAATCTTCGAACGCTCAATCTACAACTCAGAACTATCTTAAAAACAAAAAAAGTGTTTGTAACAGGGCTTGAACCAAATCAAAGCAATTTTGGGAGATTTTTTTTACTACTTTTCCGTTATACGTTCACATTTTTTCAAAAAGCTCTCAAATTATATCATGGCTTCACGATTCGTGCAGAGGCGGGGCTTTGCCAACTCAAAGCATGGCAGTTTTTGATAGCGAGAGAGTACAAAAAACAATCGTATGACGTGGAGGTTTAACAAGTTTACCTGTGTTATCAGGCAAAGTCTGCAATACACCTCTACACGAATCGTGGAGACGATCATATGTTCTTTAGTCTGACAATAAGAATAATTTTTCATAGGTTCTACAACGACTGGTCTCCATGCCACGTCTCACGAAGAAATTGACACGTTTTGGTGCATATTGACATGTTTTTTCGAAAACATTTTCGGTGAAATAAAAGAGAATTTGTGATCATTTTAAAGCTGTTCAAATACTTTACAAAAGCACGAAAAAACCGTGAACTTATTCTAGAACGTCTTGCTTGCTTTTAGCAGTGATTCAAAAATGTACTTCTCTTTGAAGGCAGCGTCCAAGCAGATCCGAGCTCGACGACCACGCCCACTTCCCTCGGACGGCCAACCCCTTATGAACGAAATCTCCTCAGCCTTGATGTGTTTTCACATGACCAACACAGTCGAACTTACAGCGTTCACCTTTTAATACTTACTTTCGACAAGGATAACATCAGAAGCACTCGTCCGGGTTTTTCCAAAATAGCCCCAAAAGGTGGTTTTCTGAGAAATTCACGCTTTTTGAGTTTCATATTCGGAATCAGCGATATGGAAAGACCTGGATAACATAAAAATATAGAAGTCAAGAATCTGCCTAAACGCTGCTCTTAAACCCTTTTCGCCGTGCGAATTTAGCCGAAAAGGCTATAAATGATAACTTGAAGTACCTTGCTGCTGCTTAATTTGCCTCTTAAATGACGGAATCCCAGCGCACTTCTTTATCCAGAGCAAGTTCAATCTGTTTATCGATGATAGTATTTGGTTATTATCTGACAATGTTCACTTTGAGACTGTTTGGTCGAAGTGGGGTCAAGATTAACTGAAAACAGATTTGACTTACATCGCTATGGTAGAGTAACACAAATTCTTGGTAAAACCTGTTAATGAAAGGTCAAATTTTTTTTTGACACATGGCAGGAGGTTGACACTGTAAAGCTGGGACAAAATATGTTACAAGGATAGAAGCAATATCTTTCTTTGAAAAAATGGGTTCAAATAACCAAAAAGTATCAATTTTTTGCAGTGAGAATGAGTCTGCTCTTCGCTATGCCACAGCAGGGTTCTTGGTAATTTTAAATGATAAAGTAACTCATTTGTTTCAGGATATTACCTACCATTTATAGGGCATTCCGCCAGGACATAGGTAGTACAACCTAATAAATATATCGTAGCAAGTAAGAGCATCTAAGTTGGTGGAGTGTTCGAATGGGAAGATCACAGGTCAACCGAGCATAAAACCTGACATAAAAGTTATTTGCTCCGAACGCAAGTTCGATTAGAGCAAGATCATATTGCATGTTGACCTCGATTCCTTTCATTCTGCTGAAACCCCCGTATGTGACGTAGTAGGCGAACAAATAAAACAACTTCCTGTTACTAAATTTGCAAAGTTTTTACGTGAGTACTGATGGACAAAAGTCATGTGTCGCATTTTTAGTTGTAAATAACAAAGAGAACACAAAACTAGATGAGTAAACAAATTAGCTTGTGTTATATTAGGTCGTTTCATAAGTTCGTAGAGTTTTATAAATCAACGAAATCAAAATTCAATCGACAATGTATATTCAGGTATTTCGCACAACCTTTTACCACCGTGCAATCTGATTTTTACTTCCGTTCCAGAACTCTGGTCCCAAAATATCGTATAAGACACCTAGGATTGCCTTCAAAATCAAAGCAGACGCCGTCCATATGACAGGTGATAGACTGGAAGAGATGACAAGATGCTAGAGCGAGATCTCAGGAGCACATTGAGTACTAATGTACCTCCCGGTCAAGCCTTGCAGAACAGCTATGCTAGCGATTGCCGTAGGGGACCAGTTTATAGCACAAAAAAAGCTTACTGGACTTGTTTATTAGGCTTTTTGTGCAGTAGGGATTACTTTAGAAGTGCAGTCGGGTATACGGTATGGACGACCATTTTGCTCTTTCCTAGCAAAACTCGGTGCACAACTTCCTGCCTATCCTGCAAAAAGTCTTGTTCAGGTAACACCCTGCAAACTCTTTGTTTTCAAAGCAATCCAATCCCTTTTTTGCCTCATATTGACAAACGCCTTCTTCCATAATTGGCAAGAAAATCTGAGCAAAATGCTCTTTTTTCAGCAAGAAAAAAGTGCAAGTGCCGAAAATACTTCTTTTTGCCTTTCGAGAAGTCCTTTTTGGAAGCTGAGGAATCAAAGCAAACTAGCATTTATAGGAAATAATTTGTCTGTTTCGAAGAGCATGATCAGCTCTTTTCGATGACATATGCATCTTGCGCCAATCAACCGCTCCTCAAAGAAATGAGAAGGAGAATGAAAACTCTACGAACTTACGAAACGAACTAATAGTATAGTAAATTATGATTGTGGATACGCTGAACTATGATTTTCTAGCAAGGGTTGTTTTTCGTGGGTTATAATATCACTTTGTAAAAGAATAGCAAAAAATGAAAAGCAATCTATAATTTCGATTTATTTTTGTTTGTGAATGATTTTATTATTAATAAACTACCTTGTGCACCAGAAAAACCGTATGGCCACCAATCTTGGTTGAGTCCTGCCAAAAACTTAGAAACTTTTCTTAATAATGTTCGTCACATACCGTGCCAAGTTGTTGTAAATACCATGTGGTTATAAATTACGTTGACGAAACAAATTCAAAAAAATTACCTTGGTAGATGGTAGCAATGAGAGCGAGGGCGAACTCAAAAGTCTTGTCTCCGCTTTCAAAAATACCAGCTTATCTAAACTTCATTGCTTGAAGTACTTGGTAGAAGGGGATGCAGACGATTTTTGAAAGTGTATAGGTTTTCACAGTGAAAAACCCCTGTAACTTCTATCGATCAGGGCTCGGCACGAGGTGACTTACAAGCAAGCTGGATACCGTTTTTGGGACGAAAAGCAAAGGGGGTTTCGTTTTTGTGACCGAAGAGACACGAAAAATTGGCGACGGCGATCTTTTTTTTTAGTCGACGTTTCGTTTTTTTGGGGGATTTTGGGGAATTTTTCAGGTTTTTAGAGGAAATTTGGTTGAGGGTCAAAGGGGACTTCGTTTTTTCCATTTTCATCTAGCCACCTCGTGCCGAGCCCTGCTTTCGATGAGCAGCTCAAACATGTAAAATGTTCCATTGCAACGGCCTTGGTCTTTTCTATCAAAAAGTGTTCATGCTTCGAAGAAAGCTTTTTGACGTTCATTACAAGCGTATTCGCTTGTCTCTTTCTCTCGCCAGGATCAAATACCTGCTCTCAAATTTAATAGACCTGCTGAGCCATTATAGCAATTCCATTGGACATACAAAAATTTTCATAAAGAATAAATTTTTGTTCTGCAATAGAATAAATTAAAGGTTATTGACTTAATTTGTGCACATGATATATTTATCAGTCAAAGCATACTTTTCGTTCAAAACGTAAATATTTCTTAGCTACCACCTTAGCTTCGCTAAACAAAGCCTTGCAGAATTGAACTTATCAAAGTCAACTATCTTCGGCCATTCTTTGTAACAGCTTTAGGACGTAGGCTGCTTTTTTGTTTTACATTCCACTTTTACTTATCAAAATTTTTTCTTGCATGCTTTGGAGTCAGCGCAAGTGGGCAAAAAAAGCTAAACTGTGGATTCTCGTTTAGTACCATACGCTTTCCCAATGCAGCAGCTCGAAAGAGAGCCTGCTTAAATATTATGGTTTTTCCGGAACTCAAACAATGTTATGTTTCGCCTGCCCAAACTGCATTCAAAGCTTTGTTTATACCCTTCAGTTCCACTGACAACTTCCAAATGTGGTAATTATTATAATTTATAACGTATGTATACATCTATCTATTCCAAGGAATGGATTGCGCTTGGAGAGTGGCGCCCGATTCAAAAAAAACAGCAAAAAGCAAAGGGAAAAAAGGAAATCAAGCCGTTTGAAAGAAGCTGCGCAAAAATAATCAGTTTATCTGTAGAGCAACTCGCATCTATATTAGATGATATAGCAAATTGTGTTAAGAGAAATTGCATTTGAAACACAAGTTTTTGGCACAGGATGGATCATCGACTTGTTTACACAGCATAAGCAAGAAAAGGTGGGGATTATTTGCATATGCACAATATCCAAAAAATGCATAAAATAGTGTGAATGACCACGCAGATGGAACAATTTTTTTCGGAACAACAATTTTTTTGGAACAATTTTTTAACAAATTTCCCGACGTAGTGAGGGATACTGAAAAAGAAGCCGTACACCTCTACTTCTACCACAAAACTTCAAAATTCTTTGTATAAGGTTTCACACTAACTATTAGTGAGAAAATGCTCTGTTCTGACGCGTTCTTGCTGTAAAATCAGCCAACTCCCCATCTTCTATTGCCTTCTGCCTTTTTTGCATTTTATTCTTACTGCTCACCATAATCGCTCTTAACAGTGCAAGCCAACTTGATCAAATATTAGAAAGTACTGATCTTGTGTGAATTGAAAGGTGATTTCGTGTAATGAAACGAGTGCCAAGTGACCATACTCCGACAGGGCTTGAACACACCGTTCATCCCGATCCTCGACTTCCAGGTTTTTGTCGTTTCAGGGCCTTCTCAAGTCCCTAATTCCGATACCATATCGAGGATCCGCGAAAACCACGATAATCCTCGTTCCGGAGAATCCACAAGCCGGCTTTCCGGAACTGTGATATGGGCGCGCACGCAGAGGAGGGCATTACTGCAGGGGCGGTGCCGACTTGGAGTCTTGATGCCTATTTGTTATTTCAAACGGTTTTCTCGCTTCCGAAGCGAAAAATTTTGCGCTGCGATTTGGGCATTGGGGCCCTATTGCCATATGCTGCCAAAAGCTCAAGACCCTCAACTTCGGGTGAGCGTTGCTTTTGTAAGTTACTTGACAATATGTTATATACATCAGTTCATTTCTTAGTTTAATAATGACGCTGCTCCTGCTCCTAAGTCGCATCTAGTATTCCAAACCTGCACCACTCAATTCTAGAAGCATTCATTCTCACAATAGTAATCAACGCAAAACTATCCAACAAGCACGATAAAGTTGATAAGATTTGCAAGTTCAAGCAATGCAATCATCCCGTATTCGATGATCCAAGACATTCTGTTGATATTCCGCTTCCTGAAATGAAATCACAAATAAACAAAAAGGAAGAACGTAGACTTCATACCTCTTCTCACTCGATTTTTCGCTAAATTCATTGCGATTGCTGACGAACCAGTTGACATAAGGTAATATGACGGTAGCAAGAAGTGCCAGAACCATAATGAATAGATTTACCATCACGTAAATAGCTGAAATAATTCTGTGCACAAAAATAGAACACCAGGTAGTATGGCCGAATAGGACAAGAAATCTTGGAAGTGATGAGATAGACAAGGAATGATTTACTGACCTATTCTAGGTAATCCTTTAGTCTTTGGTAACGCTGTTGCCAGAATACCGAGAATAAATGTCAATGACATTATGTTTGTCAGTGCCATTCCAAGCTATAAGTGGAAAAGGTTGAAAAAGTACAGAAAAAAAGCCATTATATTTACCTTCCCCATGCTGTCTGCAGATTTGAGAAAAACTCCATAAATAGAAAGTATATTGATGACAAAAGAAGGAAGGATCACCATCGTAATGTAGAATTGCGGATTTCTTTCCATTGAAACCACGAAGGTATTCTAGATGATAAAGTACTAATATTATATTTCTATAGTTTGTTTGTAAACTTAGCTTCAATTCCACACAAAAAAAACGAACCATTTTATACGAAAATTGCTCCAAATCTGACTCGTATTCTTTGATATTCACTGATACATTACGTAATTCCCATTCTCCATTGCCCTGAAGAATGAAAAACACTTTTGAAACATCCATTTAATGCTGTTTTTCAAACGTTCACCATGTTCTCAAAAGCCATCGTGCCTGTATCGATTTCCGGACTCAAACCAATATCTATGTTGTATTCATTAGGTGAAAACGCTTGAGACATCAGTTTGATTGGACATTCCTGCTTGTCGAACGGAAATTTTTGGACCTGAACAATTTGATAGAAAATTTTGTTTGAACATCTGCATTGAACCGACGTCTATTGCGCATATGGTTGCTGTGATTGTTGGAACGAAAAAGCCGGCATGACCAGTTGAGTTCACCTGGAATGTGAGTCTAATATTTTTCGGAAGGAGCAACAACAAAACATTTCATGCTTTTAAAAATCTTTTCTTTCGAATATTCGAATAATCATACTTTCCTATTTGTCAATAATCATTTACAATATTGGACAATTTAGATTGAATGGGTCAAAATGAGTTTTACACGACGACATAACTTCTGAATAAATTCTCTGCTTTACACGACGACATAACTTCTGAATAAATTCTCTGCTTTCTCAAAATTGTCCAACTGGTATTGAACAATGCAATCATCTATTTGGGAGGACAACTTGCTAATATATTGACTATACCAAGCAAGAGGTACCCTCTGATCAACTGGATTGGCGGCTAGAAGGCGGGGCTTCGAGACCTAAATGAAGCTAGAAAATGAAGAGAGCATTTTCGAGGAGAGACGCCGACTGCGTCGAGGGAGCGAGCGACCTTGATTGAGTCGCAAGGCCCTGCTTTCCAACCTCTAATCCGGTTGAATCAAAGGTTAGCTGTTACAGTTTTAGGCTCTTGTATCGGATGACTAATCAGAACAAAAAGATTTTAAAAAGAGAGAATTTGTCAGTGCACTGTGCTTTAGCGGATAAGACTGCAAACCAATACTGTGCTTCTGTATCCTTTGATAAATTAACATTTGGTGATGTTAAAAAATTCTGAAACTTTATTCTGCCTTTTCCAGGGGTGAGGCTGAAGAAATCAGAGTAAGTGGAAGAATGCTAACCAATAACCTACGTCCACTAGCTTTTGATTTATTCATGAAGTATAATTCTGACAATCATAGATGCTTTTCAGAGAGTTCTGAACTGGCTCGTCTTCATAAAATCATGAATTCGGAGAGCACAAATCTGCCAATCCACCTGCTATCACTGGTACCTTGTTAGCACAACATTATAGAGAACTAAACGGCGGATAACCACGGTATTATTTGCCTTAAGCTTTAAAAAAGCTTTGTCCTTTGACATATTAGGTTGTCCCGAAAGTTTTGTCCGTTTTTTCTAACCTATCATAAAAACACGAGGAATGAAGGTAGAGAAACGCTTCAAGTACTATCTGACGCAGCTTTTCCCCCTCTTTCTGATTGTTATGATCGCATGCCGATTACTCTTTTGCCCGCAGAGATAAACGCCGAAATTTCGAAACCGTGGTTTTTACCATGTCCAAGTTTGGCAATTTTTCACAGCCTTCATTTTTGACTTTAGGAAAAGCTCTGGCAGCAGTCAGATAGAGCAAACCGAGGGCAATATAATGCAATCTTGCGGTATCTATAGCTAGCCTTGAAAAATTTTTAGAATCATTTTTCTGATGCTATCAAATTCCACTTTTGATGATGCCAAAAGCCAAACATCATGAAACGGCGCACAACTAAGGTGCTATTCGATGCAGTTTTTCCTCCTCTTTCCAATGAGTGTATTTTTCCTCCAATTTGTGGGGTCTTTAGCGATAAAATTTCCATAATTATTGAATTTGACCCCGCCCCAGCGTATACCGTAAAATGCGAAATCTATTTCGAAGCGGTAAACGCTCAGTTGCTTTGTAAAAATAGTGAATAATCGTAAACGATTTTTGAAAGCTTCAAAATCCGATGACTTGTCAGTGTTCGAGGCGTTTCTGTATTTTGGGAATTCGCAAAAGTGAAGAATTTTAAAAAAATCATTTCAAATAATACTGAAAAACCAGCCGGTTAGGCCAAAAAATTGCATTGCATTGCCCTTTGTTTACTCTATCTGAGCGCTATCAAAGATCCTCCAAAAGTTGAAAATGAAGATTGTGAAAAATTGCCAAACTTGGATAGTAGAAACCACGGATTCGAAAATTTCGGCGTTTATCTCTGTGGGCAAAAGAGTAATCGGCATGGGATCATAACAATCAGAAAGAGGGGGAAAAGCTGCGTCGGATAGTACTTGAAGCGTTTCTCTACCCTCATTCCTCGTGTTTTTATGATAGGTTGAAAAAACGGACAAAACTTTCATGACAACCTAATATAATAACGTATAATGACTTACTCGAACAAATCGCTTGTTTTCCTCTCGGAAGTCCTCAGATTGGCTGAAAAATGCACGATGATAATTTGGTTTGATCACCGATTTGTCTATTTACGTACTTTTTCCATATCAAACGTAAAAGTAATTCCAAAGATTCAATGCCCTTTTTTACTGTAAAAGAAGGAAAGGCTAAAACATAAAAAAATTTGTTGTGCAGCATAGTTAAATAATGCTTTTCTTCTCTATTTTTCATATTTTCTAGAATATCAAGAAAATTCTAAACTTACGCATCAATGATTGTAATTTCAGGTATCCACACATCTGATTCAGACAAGTAAATATGTTCAATCCCACAATACTCTGTCGCATTCCAGCTAAGGCGCTCATCTCTCCAATCCTGCAAGTAATGAAAAAAAATTACAGATTAATGGTGGCAGACATTGCTTACTAAAAAGAAATTTTGCATACTATGAAGTGTTTGTACCGGATCTGCTTTCAAAGTAAAACAAAACTATAGCAGCTGCAACCTCAAGCTCCTTTTCGAAAAATTATGAGCACAAAAAACGGAACTTACCAAGAAATATTCAAATACAAATTCTACTCTTTGTTGTGGCTCGATCTGAAAAGGCTCGCATGAGTTTCGTGATTCCTTAGAGCTGCAGATAACTCACAACTTGAGTCAACTTCAAATATGCAAGCGTAAGCGAGACATTGAACTTTGGAAGATTGACGTTCGTACTTGACGTTGATGAATTTACCACTGAGAATGATGATTATCAAATTAGTCCATCATATTTATAATAGACAGAAATGAATATTAAGTCCGTGCAAAAGATTGGTCAGTTTTTTTCAATTTGCCGCGAATTCGGTAGAATAAACATAAACATCAACAACAACAACACTTTGAGCAGTACCCGATGCAGAATTTCTTTCTCTTTTAAGCAACCACACTTCAGTGTTATTCGTTGAAGGGTGCTGAGATAATTGCTGAAGATTACAACTCTTCGTTTTTACCCTCTAACTTTCGCTAATTCAAAATTTTTGTTTGAGATTTTGGGAAAGCTATGACAGCCACCGGATAGAGCGGACCTTTTGCCAATCAATGCAATTTTTTACTTTCTTCCATTTTCTCCTCTAGAACTTTGCCAAATAATTTTTGTGTTTTGGAAAGATCACACATACCTTGTTGCATCGAACACTGCAAAATCCGCAAAAACTGGGGTTCAAAAATTCTATCGTAAACAAGGTAAAGGAGCTATCGTTTTGGCATATGAAGATTTAGGAACTTAGGACATGTCAGTGCGCACTCGTAGAATTGGAAAATACTGCGATTTTCAACATAAGCTTCTCCCCAAAAAAGATAATCATTAGAAAGAGGAGAAAAAGTTACATCGATTAGTACTCAAGTGCTACCATATGAAGTTCTGCGAGATTAGGATAGACCGGATATAAAATTTGTTCACATTAAAAAACATATTTTAGAAATTCTGAAGGACAAGCCACAGAGCTACAAAATTACATTTTTGCAAAAGGTTTGTCAGCTGGTTATCAAAACACTTTCAAAAAGTCTCAGATAAAATATTTGAAAAACTAGCGAATGTTAGACATGGTAAAAACGAAAGATTGTATTCTCCACCATTTATCTCAGCAATTTCTCAACAAATTATGGCAGCTGGATAGAAGTAGAAACCTTGAACACACAGTTTGGAGTATTTGTTCATCTTCACTGTATCGGGAATGTGAGTTATCCCAAAAAATAACAAAACCTCTGCACCGAATTAATATAAGGAGAGTGACAGTATCTTTTCTGCGCTGATATGGGAATTCCTGAAGAAAAATTTTCGGAAAAAGTAAAAAGCTCGGTCGTTCATTGACGGTGCGAGAAGGGAGAAGAACTGTGGACTAAATACAAAGTAGCAGAAAAAACCCCACTCCGCATGGTAATCAATGGAAGCTTTGGATTATAATCACTGAGTAGCGCTCCATGCAGTCTGCTCAATTCTTCAGCATAACTTTCGCGATCTGAAACATAAATTCTATGTATTACAGACTTTTCTTCGTATATCTTTGCTTACAAATTTTCAATGGACGCCAAGTCTACCACCCCATAATTTTCTAAGGAATGACTTTACAATTTTACATAGCCTTACCGAGAATGGGGCATTTTCCGAATACAGAAGTAATTAGCATGGATATCGCGTACGCGATGACATTGCGCATGACTGAAGTTAGTAGTAAGCGTTCACATGCGATCGTAAGTCAACTTCGCACAACCCAATAAATTGTTTGCGTTAGGCGTAGGTTTGATCAAAAGAGATCGAGTTGCATATTTACTCGACATTTCGCTTCATAGGAAACAGATGCAAAGTGAATGAGTAAGTGAGAACGGCCATGAGACCAGAAAAACTGTTTTTAGTAAGAAGACTTTGAGCTTTTGAAAAAACGAGAAAGTATCAAAACATTTGCATACTTTGCAAATACTAACTTTTTTCTTAAAGTATTTATTCATTGTTTACGGTTCAATACAGGTGCCATAGACCTCCAATGGTACAAGTAGTGCGGTTTGTATTTTTTGATTTATTTAAATTATGCAGGTTTTGCTTCTTTTTTGTAGTACAACTCAGGCTTTGCCCAAAAACCTTTCCCATGCTTATCTGATCTAGAAATGCTTCTGCCATTAGCTGGCAACATATCTAGACATCCTTATCATCAAGATTGCAATCTTGTGATTAACCTTTTGACATTGTTGTGTAAATGGTATGGATGCTGCTGTTGTTTGTTACATAGCATATAAATTTAGGTCTGAATGACCCACAAGTATCTCGATACATCACCACAATTTCCCAAGTTTGCAAGTTATCCCCTTTTCTCAAGTGCCACAACATCACCTTGTAAGTACTGTTGCTTGTACATAATAAATAAATAAATCGTCTGCACGTTTTTAACAATAGAGGAGGACCAGCGTGGCGTTAGATCTCAAGTTACTCATAACTCAGTTGACCCAGACACGCAATCAAAAACAACAACACGAAATCGGGATGATTTTCATGAGGCAGTTTTTGACAATGGAAGTGTACGTGCTTCAAAACCAGAAAGAAATCCATAACTTATTCTCGCCAAGTGCTTCAGAGGTTGCGAATTTGAAGTTCGAGTTCGGTTTGGCTTAGCTAGATTTTCTTCTGACTTCCGTATAGACCCAATAAACCACCATTCTCTCACTGGATCCTCTCGTTCTTCTATTCAGTTTGTTGGATATTCAGAGCTAGCAACTGTCGTAGATTATTTGCGAATCTACGACCTTTACCATTGTAGAGTCATATTGTATGCTATATTCAGTATCCACTAGTTTGTCGTTGACAGACATTACTGTTCACTCACCACTTAAGCCGCCAGGTCACCCCTCCACTGTGCTTGATAGTCTACTTGGCGGCGCCTACTTTCATGTAGGCAATCCTTGATTCTGTATGATACTGTTATTTGCCAGAAGTGAGCATTCAGGTTATCCACGCCCAAAATAGTGGCATAAAAGGGCCTGAATACTCAGTTCTGGTGTTGGTTCGATTAATACCACTATCGTCAGCGGCTGTTCCGCATATTCACTGTTAATAGTCAGCGGCTGCTCCGCTACTATCTAATAAACAGTTATACCCGTTGTGGTACCAGCTTGGTGTATACCAAATTGGTGCATCGGCCAACGGATCGTCTCTTCGGTGCTGCTCACCGAAATTCGATAAAAGTCCCGCGTGGCAGGCTACTAACAGCCGATTATTCGACTCTCGTGATTGCTGGTTCATCCACTTTCGCGACCAAGAGTCTTACTAAGCTGTCAGGTCCTATCCACAGCTTAGTAGAGGTTTCTAGCTAACTGACTGGTTCATCCACAGTTAGCAACAGACTCCTCGCACTCTAGGCTACTAATTAGCCAATATTCGACTCTAGTAATTGTTGGTTCATCCACTTTTACTAATACGAGTCTTGCTAAGCTATCCCATAGCTTAGCAGAGGTTTTCTAACTAGCTGACTGGTTCATCCACAGTTAGTAAAAGAACTCCTCGAACTTTTTTTTGGCTCCAAAAAAGACTCTGTGATTGCTGGTCCATCCACTTTCACATACAAGAGTCAACTCACTAAGCTATCAGGTCCTATCCAAGCTTAGAGAGGTGTTCTAACTAGCTGACTGGTTCATCCACAGTTAGTAAAAGAACTCCTCGAACTTTTTTTGGCTTTCAACAGCCAAAAAAGACTCTGTGATTGCTGGTCCATCCACTTTCACATAAAGAGTCAACTCGCTAAGCTATCAGGTCCTATCCATAGCTTAGCAGAGGGTTCTAACTAGCTGACTGGTTCATCCACAGTTAGTAAAAGAACTCCTCGAATTTTTTTTGGCTTCCTATAGCCAAAAAAGACTCTGTGATTGCTGGTTCATCCACTTTCACGTACAAGAGTCACCTTACTAAGCTGTTAGGTCCAATCCACAGCTTAGTAAAGAGGTCTAACTAGCTGCTCGGTCAATCCACAGTTAGCAGACGACCCTCTTAAGCTCCTTGACGGTTGATCAATCAAAGCAAGAGCTTGCTGCTAGCTGTCAGGTCAATCCATAGTTTAGCAAAAACAAACTCCTATCAGCCTTCTGTACGCATCAAGTCCATGCGCACCAGACAAACAATGGCTGAGCTAGCTGGATTCAAAACACGCATCACAGTGGCTTGCTCTTCAGTTGGCAGCCTCCAGAGCAAAATCAGGGAAATAGATCAAGCCTTCAACTTCCCAACAACGGCAACGGAATGCAACGCCTTCATTGTGGATAAAATGGCAGAAATTGAGGAGGCAGAAATTTCTCTCAAAGGCTTTTTGGAATACCTGGAAGCACAGATCCAGAATGCTATGAACTTTCTCGGATCAAGAAAAGACCAATCAGAAAGAGAAAGGCTTATGACTGATCTTGATGTATTTCTTTCTACTGAAGCAAACACAGTGCAGATGGAAGCTATTAACTGGTCAAATAGGCTAAAATACCGGATGAGAGAATTGGAAAAACAGTCGAGCCTAATTCATGCAATAGCATCGTCCTCGATGCGAACATCAGTGCAGGACACCGACACGGATAGTTGTCTATCAACAAGACAACACAATGAGAACAAAGTCCGATTACCAGTGCTTGAAGTTCCAACGTTTAATGGAAACTACAAAGACTATCCAACATTTTGGACAATTTTCGACTCGCTCATCCATAGCAACTCACAGCTCAGCAACACGGATAAGTTCCTATTTCTGAGGCAAGCACTGAAAGGATCAGCTGCTTCCATGCTTGGCAATATCCCTGTGATAGGGAAAAATTACGACAAAGCTATAACGCTTCTCGACAAACGATTCAACAAATCTGGATGCATAGCGGACTTACTGATCACTGAGCTCGAGAAACTACCCCGAGCAAGAGAAGACGCTACCAGTTGCCGAAGGACCCTTACGGACGTGAACGAAAAACTCACCCACATTGAGTGCGCTGGAGTTTCACTGGATAACGGCCGAATGTGGAGAAGACTAATCCTGTCGAAATTCCCAGAGTCTATGAGTAAAGAGGTACTCAGGAAAGAGCAGAAGGATGGAAAGTCTCTGTCAACCGATAAGATTCTGGAAATTCTTGAAAACGCTGTCGCTTTGAAGGAGACTCTCGCACTAACTACATCCGCATTTGGGGATTGCAACATTACGGCACGCTCTGATTCCGATCAAGAAGTTGATGAGAGGATGAACTACGAAGAAGACTCAACGGCATACACTTCAAAAAATCGACGAGGAGTTACATTGCCGAGAGATTCGAGTGGTCAATGCATTTGCGGAAGTTATCAACATGACACGACGCGATGTACAACATTCCAAACACCAGCAGAGCGACGTGATGAAGCCAGAAAGCAAAGGCTGTGCTTCAGATGTCTTCAAACCAATCACAGGATCAGTGATTGCACAAGCTCACAGTCATGCTACAGGTGTCACGGAAACCATCACACTGCCGTATGCATGGGTAGCTATTCAGCATCTAGAGGCACCCCAACCGGGAGATCACAGCAACGATCTGCTCGCGAACAACATCTCCCAAGAGACCCTGAATTTGCGCAAAATTCTGAAATTCTCCACAACAAGAGCACTAAGCGAGGAGGAATGCAGCACGTACTGATGACGGCGACTGCATTCGCGTACGACTACACATCGATCAGCTATAAGCCCGTGACTGTCTTCTTTGATGGAGGTGCACAAAAAAGCTTCATCAACACAAGGAAGACCCAAGTTCTTGGCTTACCAGTGCTGCAAAACACCACTTTTAAGACTGGCGGCTTTGGAGGATCTACCGCAAATTTCTCATCCAGTGAAGTCCCGCTTACTCTGAGAACAATGTTTGCTGGAGTCGCTGCCAAAGCTGTGAAGATACATACAAAGTCAACACTCACTTCCACGATGAGCACAGCTTGGCTAAGCGCAGAGGATAGAAGGTTGATTCGAAAAAGAAAGATTCGAGTAGCACAACCGGATCTGAAGACGCGACGGATCACGCCGGACATTCTCATTGGTCAAGATCTAATTGATCAATTCATCTTGAGGGATCGACCATGTACAATTCTTCCGTCTGGGCTTATTCTCACCCCTACTGTTTTCGGCCATGCAATCTCCGGAAGCAGTCGTATGTACGGAATCAAAACGGAGGAGTATTCGCAAAACACCGCAATCACCAGCGCCTCCTACCATCCAGTTAGTAAAGGAGACTCAGTGAAGCAGAAGCCAACTACAACTGTTGAACAAACGAACCGCGCAAGTTCAAAACGCCGTGTGAAGAAGCTCGACTGTTCGATTCCGGCAAAGATTCCGATTCCGGCACAACCTGTAAAGTCACCAACGAAAAGCAGAAGCGATCAACGCAACAACGCCTTTGATGGACTGCAGTTCAATCGCAAACGCCGAAAATCAAGGACTCATGGACAGTCGGTGAAGAAGAATACTGAAGCTCAACTGGGACATTTCGCTTCAGCGTTGCGCCTGGCCCCGAAGGCCGATCACGGCACGATGACCGACCATCGTAGGATTCTTAGACGAGAACACAAACCTGTTGTAGAACTCATGTGATATATGTAATTTAACTAATGTTGTGATGATGTAATTTGAATTTGTTAACGCTTCAGTAATAGTGTAATTTGTATTTTCTTGCTTTCGCGCCTTCCGTCGCGCGCCCCACTGTCGTAGATTATTTGCGAATCTACGACCTTTACCATTGTAGAGTCATATTGTATGCTATATTCAGTATCCACTAGTTTGTCGTTGACAGACATTACTGTTCACTCACCACTTAAGCCGCCAGGTCACCCCTCCACTGTGCTTGATAGTCTACTTGGCGGCGCCTACTTTCATGTAGGCAATCCTTGATTCTGTATGATACTGTTATTTGCCAGAAGTGAGCATTCAGGTTATCCACGCCCAAAATAGTGGCATAAAAGGGCCTGAATACTCAGTTCTGGTGTTGGTTCGATTAATACCACTATCGTCAGCGGCTGTTCCGCATATTCAGTGTTAATAGTCAGCGGCTGCTCCGCTACTATCTAATAAACAGTTATACCCGTTGTGGTACCAGCTTGGTGTATACCAAAGCAACTCTCCCCGGGAGGAACGACCGAAGACAGTGGTCGACTTTGTTAGCAAAAAGGGATCAGCGCAATTTGTTAATAACATCTAGAGCTACCCTGAAGGTACTGTCCAGACATATTTGGGCGTATGCGTTTTCCGCCTGAAAACTGATGAGCGGGCTCTTAAAGGCAGTGTCCGGGCAATAACTCGAAAATACCGTCGATTACATTAACACTACTTTCTCGCTGAGATCCATCCTAAGTCACTCGCGAGTTACGGTCACTTCGCAAGTGCGGAGTTTTGGGATGGATTTCTTCGCCTTGAATGATTCATTTGTGCTGTCGTTTGGGCAGGCCTTTAGAACCCCCTCATCATTCCGGGCAAAAAATCCATGGATCCAAATTTGCCTGCAAAATTTACAAATTGCACTTCACACAAATTTACTAATTACGCTGCTTCTAAATACTCGCTTTATATGGAGTGCCCAAAATGGCGTTGAATCGTCAACATTTTGCTCTTTTTGCAAAATTTGCAATTGGCAAAATCCACTGAATGACTGATGAATTTGTTAGAATTTAGAGTGAATAATGTCCAGCAAACACCAGATGTGGGCAAACCATTGCATCTTATATCTAATGGTATTGAGCCTTTTCGTTCGTCATAGTTGCAGTATGATACGAATGTTCGATAATATGTTGTACCTCTGCGGATGTTTCAGCCTGCATTCTTTGCCTATGGCACGTGACATTTTGCTTGGTTCCTTTTTTTCAAACAGAATTTGTTAATGTATTTCCAAATGCTTTGAACCTACTTGGAAGAAATCATTGCAGATACATTAATCCCTTGTTAGAAAGCAATATCATACTATTATATAAGGGACAATTATGAAGCGTTTGTTTTACTCACAATATCTAAGGTTTTCTTATAATTTTACGATCAAAATTTCCTTCTTCAAAGCACGTCAGTACTGTAAAAAAATTATGTGCTGGACTATAACCATGGTAACAAGAACCGCAACCTCTTCAAAAAGGCGTGGTCTTGGCAAATTTGTAACGCTTAGTACATTCAGTATTCCTCCCGCAAGGATGATGCCAGTTGTACCAGCGCAAATGTGGATGGTAATTGTCGTCACTCTCTCCCAGGTTGGCTTTTATAGTTGCCCTCAATTGGTGTACCAAACTTTACATTTTAGTCTAGCAATAGTTTGCAATGCACGTTCACGAAAGTATCAGGCGTCTTCAATCTATCTTTGATAGCTACTTATAACGGCACAGCCGAGCCCGAGTGTTTTAGCAAATGCTCCGTGGATAAGGAGTGCACCTTTTTAGATTACAATGAGGTAATTTCTAGATAGAAGGTTGAAGGACTTTTGTACTGTAACTCAAACATAAGGAAAAACTGAGTACAATGAAAGTTCTAAGAACTCGATGAAATTTAACCTTCTTAGAATTCTTACTAGCGTTGCAGGGTCTGTGCAGAACCTTCAAGTCTGGGAGTGATGTGCACGAGCTTGGATTCAACAGCCAAGCTTTTGCATATTCTTATGAGATGATGGATACAACGTGCAGAACTGAAATGGTATCAAAGCCGCGGCTTAACCTACAAACAACGACTCCGAAACATGCATATCCATGCAGTGACGGCAGTGATTACGACATTGGGGAAGCATTAATAAAGGGGAATTTGCTGGAAGCACCAGATAACCTGACTGAATGCTGGTTTGACTTCATGATGCAACAATTAGAGGCTGTTTACCATGACGAGTTCATATAAGTACGCAAATTTAGGTATGGCAGTTTCGAATATTACCCACTCACTCTATTATGCCCAACAGCGAAGTTATATTTCTATAGAAAACAGGTGGTTGTCTTTAATATGGTCTTCGCATCATTTAACATTCTGAACTTTTAAGGCAATAGTTTGCGTCACTCACTCGACCCCATGGACAAGTCTAAAATCGAATCCACCCGCTATGTCAGCTCCGAACACTGTTCAATGGCACCTTTCGCTGTGGCCGAATACAAATGTAAATGGACTGATAGATACATCGCTGTAATCGACACCATTGGCGAACCAAATCCACAGTTTCCCGATTTTGCTGATCTAGAACATGTTGAAAGCACACCCATTTTCTATGTAGGCAATTATTGCACTCTACCAAAAAAGACATGGTAAGAGAGGTTTGCACCTCCCGTGCCCATCACTGTCCCTATGTGTGAGAGTCACAATCTGTGTGCATCTTTTATTTGTAAGTAGCACAACGTTGATACTGGAGATTTCTGGAAGTAATTTTCCATTTCTTGATTTAGCGTTGGATCCGTCAGAATTTGGAAGTATGGTATCCAAAGAGTATAGATGCACTTTCCTTTCTAAGTCTTATGTTATCAAAGTGAAACCTTCAGATGCTCTTCAGAGTTTCGTACTTTCTGTTGTTCACAGTTACCATGCCTAGAGTCAAGATTTTCACTAATTTGTTTCATATTTTCAGCAACAATCAAACAACTTTCAGATAAAGCAAAACTAACATTTTTTCGGTTTATCCTAACATTTTTAACATTACAGAAATGTTTTTTTAGAACAACTCTCAAATACTACGTAAGCTCATTGTTCATGCGATATCTCAAAAAAAAATATTTTGACGAGCTTCAGAATACTGCAAACTTAGTGTTCCGCAATAAGCGCTTTAAGTCTTAAAAAGACATCGGGCCAACGTTCACCTGCAAACTCATTGCTGAATCACAGTCTTCTAAAGTGATTTTCCAAATTTGCCAGAAGGTAAAAAAGAACTTATAATAAAGTTTTCTTCATATCGCCTTTCATTCATTTCATATCATTTTCTATCCTAGGGTAGTTTGTTTGCCTTTGAGCATCTTGTTTGACTACTAGAGAAATTGCTATGATTGACCATGGCAAACATGAATTGCAAAGTTGATGATACCGTAAGAGCTTGCTGGCTGCATTGCAATAAAAACAAAATCATTGTAGAACTTGAATGCATCGGATTTTTTCAAATTCTTCTATAAACCTTTCTTCTGATGCTTGTGGAGTTTGTTTGAGGAACAAAATGAGCCTCGAGCGACCCGATACGTTTCTCTACATTTCTCTGCATTGCCCCATTGAGTTCCGAATGATGGCTCTTGGAGCAATTAAACGTGTTGAGGGACAAACTTTCAGATTTTATGTTCCTTGCTATGTACATACACAACATGTGTCATGTCTATCTTCATATCCTTGGAAGTGATTGTCCACAAAAGATTCAGTCACGTTCAAGCCAAATTTGCCGCAGGTGATGCAGTTTCAGCAGAACCTAAAACTGCATCCCTGTGCAGTTCAGCTGAGAAAACATATTTTGAGTTCGAAAAAATCTATTAAATGTGGCACAGTGGGTAATCAGATACTGCATTTTCAAACAAATAATGAGTTGTTGAGTATCCAGCAATATGATAAGAGTTGCTTCTCTTATTTTTTCAAGTTCTTACCAATATAATAACTTCTTCTTCAATTCCCTTTTGTGACAGCAGCTTTGGCATTTGATCTATGTTGTAATAGCAAATTGTTATTTATGCTTTTCCCAGCTGTCTGTATCCTTTGTCATACAACCCATTGTTCGTTGTGACACTGAATATTTCACACTATAAAAGATCCTAGCAACTGAATTGTGACATGAACATGAATCGATAGAAACTGCGAACACTTAAGAGAAGACTAATGACCTGCTGAAACAATAGGGTTGGAAGCTAAAACTGGGAACGGTTGGAAAAGCTGGAAGTGGCACACTGAAAATTGTCTGGTGCGCACTCATTTTATAGGATCTCTTAGCTTTAAAGCGTTGGATCATCGTACGATTCTCAAGCATTTACTTCAAAACCAACCCTCATTTGATCCCTAGCGCGCAGCAGTGAGTGGTGGTCTCCTCGCAACATTTACAAAGATGAGCTGTTCCGTTTTGGCAACGTTATGCAGTTTGTCCGACTTGTTGCTTTTAAGTTGCAGATATAGAGTGTTTGGAAATAAATCTCGTTTTCCACATCCAGAATCGACAAAGGCGAACAAGCCGAAACGTTAGCGGGATAAAAGCTGATAACGATTTGGATTTGGCGGATGATCCGTAGCAAGTGGTACCCCCGCAACAGACTGCTGTCGCAGCCAGCTGCCAGAGCTGGCGTCAGCGTCGCCGCATATGGTAGGATAGTTACGCGAGAGGTTTCCTCGCACCTCGGAGGTGCGAATCAGCCTCAGGGACTACGCGATATTATCAATATGTACATCATTTCCAGCAAAAATTCTATAATTTATTGATAAAATGTAAATGAATAAATTTACACAGAGTCTTTCCAAAGATGAATGGTAACGAGATTTAATTAAAAAACAGAAGTTCAAATGACTCAAAATTCAGGTGTATTCAGTCATCAATTTTTTCTGGGATTCAAATTGAAGGAGAACTGACGAGATAAAATGACAAGAAACGTTGTGTTCAATTTTAAATTTTTTGACTAAAAATGCTATAACTTCTTATAAAACTAACATTTCTGCACAATTTAAATTTTGCTGGATTGAGCGAGTTTATGGCTATCATGAGCAGAGAAGACCATATAAAAAGGGCGAGCGAGTGAGAAGAAAAAAGTGTTGTTGAAGTTTGTCTCTCGAAAAAGTTTGTCTTCTATTTTTGAAAATTCCAAAAGTAAGACATTTATGTTGAAGAAAAAGTGTGCTTATGTTAGCCCATTACACCCTTACCCATTATAAAATATTATATTAGGTCGAACCGTAAGTTCGTTCGCACCATTTTCAAAAAATCATAACTTCTTTCAATCACAACATTTTGCGCAACCCAAAATTTGTAAGAAAGCGTAAGGCATGTAGTTTTCAAACGTCCCTGGGATCTTTCCAACACGCTCAGGTTGCAGAGATAAAAATGAAAAAAACAAGACTATCCGAAATTCGGAATTTGTAAGCAAGAATTCTAGAAATTCAGAAACTGTGCGATAAAATCCAGAAAAGCCATTATCCTAATTTTTCTAATATTTGATTACTAACTGAGTCAGTTTTGATCAAGCACTTCTTTCAAAAGTTATGATTTTTTGTAAAAAAAATGCCGAAAAATCATTTTCTTAAAATTTCTTAAGAAATCGATTTTTCGTTGTTTTCATTTTTTTAGAAAATCATAACCTCTGAAAGAAGAGCTCGATCAGCACAAACTTGACTCAGTTAGGAATCAAATATAATATAAGAAAAATTAGGATAATGTTTTCTGAATTTCTAGAATTCTTGCTCAAAAATTTCGAATTTTGGATGATCTTGTTCGTTCATTATTATCTCTGCAACTTGAGCATGTTCATGTTGGAACACCAAAGAAACTACATTTACGCTTTCTGACAAAATTTGGGTTGCGCAAAATCGTTTTGATTGAAAGAAGTTCTGTGGAAATGGTGCGAACGAACTTTCGGTTCAACCTAATGTATTCAGTTGCACGAACACGGCGGAAATTCTGTTCACAGAAAATTTTTCTTGAGGATGACTACATCTTGGCAACTTTTTTTTCGAAACTTGGAATTTTATCACTGGAATATTGTTTAAAAATCGGACAGACTTTGGAACAACCTAGTAATTGTCTGTGCAATTTCGAAAATTTCTCGCTTCTATAGTTTTGTAATAGTTTTGTAAGTGGTCGCATAGTTCGCAGCGAACTAAAAATTTTTTGCTGATTAGAATGGCATAGATATTGATACCATGGTGCTGTCCCTGAGGCTGATACACCTCAGCGCGACGAGATGCGAAGAAAACTCTCGGCAAGGGGTTTCAGACGGTTAGCGTAAATATTCTACCATATGCGGCAGCGCTGACGCCAGCTTTGGCGGCTGGCTGCGGCAGCAGTCGGCTGCCTGGGTACCACTTGCACGCCTCCCAGATTTGGCTCAGGTCAGTCAAAATAATTATCTTATACATGCCAAGCTTTAGGGAGAGTCGTTCATGGGATATCATATCATACTTTAAAATGGCCATACATGTGCTTACTCTTTGATTCAACTGAATTGGGGGCCTGGAATTCGCGTCTTTGTGGCCTAAAGGCTGGAGAATGATCAGAGAGACGCAAACTGCGTCGCGGGCGCCAGCGTTCGCCTTCCAGCCGCCAACGTTGAATCAGAGGGTACATTCTCGTATTGCGTTCATAAAATTTGTTTGTTAGGTGAGAGTTCAACCTTTCAAAATCGTATTTATTTTGAAAGCTGCATTTATACTATAAAAAAAGTTTTAACTGATGTCGCTGATCAACCAGGAATTACAGTAATTACCATCTTGCCTGCTGAGATAAGTCCTTCAGGCTGAAAAGTGCTCCGTTTTGCTTTAACTGCTTAAGGTGCATGTTTATTTTATGCATTCTCAACTCTTAGTGAGCTTGTTGGCACGCTTTTCGATTTTACTTTCGCAAATACTATGATTGAGGTTGATTTAGTCAAAATTAAGGTCAAATCAAGAACCCTTAGTTTTGCAGCGTCCCGCGAGCATAACATTATAAAAGAAACTTGGATTACAACAACAGCACCGATTCCGATAAAACTTTTCCACAAGTTGCAGATCTCAATTCTGAAGCTGGAAAACGCGTCAGATGTCTGACATGGACGCCTTTTTGTGGGCGAGTCTCCCATGGACGTCCAATTATCGATTTCACACAGCGAACCAAAGTGGATGTATCGCGTACCGGTTATAAGTATGGGGTCCCATCCCGCAACGACTCTGCGTCCCAGGTTAGGTGTCTGCGTTCATACGTCCAGATTTATCACATTGACGATAAGCCATATTTTTCAAGTCTATTCCTGTGAACGAGGCGTTTTCGTGCTCTACGCCTTGCTGCATGATTGTGCATGCCTTATGCGTGAATTACGAATTTACAAGTGAGCGGGCAGCTCGCCCCCTTGTGGCAACCTCCGCCCACTCGGCAGAAAGTGCTGGTAATTGCTTGAATTCAAAAAGTCGTGCAAATTCCGGCATTTTTGAAGAGTGGGCGGAGCTTGACGCTGAGGGTGAGGACACTTAAAATTTCCCATCTCACCAATGGCCTCTTATATACGCTCTGATCTGAAAAAAGTGCTTCACGCAGATCGAACAAAGTGGACGGAGTTTGCCAAAAGAAAGTCGGGGCCAACAACACTGATATGAAATTCTTCTGATCTAAGTTGATTGTACCAACACAAGTTAGAGGGAATGGGCACATCAAAATTGGTATCTAGGGCGCCGCGCATCATTGCGAAGCACCGTTATAAATAAGGTCTCCAGAAAAAGCCTGTAGGCATTTTCGTGCTCTCCAAACTGCATTACCAGCTCAAAATCCTGTCTTATCTGCCCACATAGCCTTCAGTGTTTTAGAATGCTCTCTCATATGTTGTATGTAGCGAGTGAGTACGCTTTACTAAATCTACTATGTATATGTATGGTACGTTTTAAAAGAAGTCACCTGCTAAAACATGCGGATACTTCGTTATGATCTTTCTCCATACACCTGAACCGCTCATATAATATTCGAGAGGATGGGCGGAAGGCCCGCCCCCTTGAACGTACTCTCCTCAGGCCTTGACGTGTTTTCACATGGCAAACAAGCTGGAACACATAGTGTCTACCTGTTAACGCTTGCTTCAACAAGGATTGCGGTAGAAGCACTCGTCCACAGTTCTCACAAAATGTTTCAAAAACGGGGTTTTTTAAGGAATTCACTCATTTCGACTGCCATATTTGGAATCAGCGCCATGAAGAGGCTTGGATAAGGCAAAAGAAGAGAAGTCGAGATTCTGCCTAGACGCTGCCTTTAATGCGTAATTGGCGAAATGACGATGAAGGTTTATAATTTAAGGTTCACAGTTAGTTAGGGTTGTGCTTGCTAATACTTCCTCAGATTTCCTGGAATCAACCTTATAAAATTTATGAGCTTTCTCTTCCTTTGCTGAAAAGACGATTGTAGCACGTCAAAGCGCCACCTCAGCTGAGCCCTGAGTGATACAGGTAGTGTCAGGATTTCCTCAAGCAAGCCGTAGGGTGAAGCGAAGTTAGGCGATGCGGATGTGCGCTATAATGAATTTAGCCTGATCCAGTTTGGGACAGATGTAGGTCTGCATTCTAGACATGAAAGGTCTTTTGATAGAGCTTGTTCTTGGCCGGTTTGAATTCGCCTGAAAAATGCATTGTTCACCTTTCGTCGTTCTCTGCTCTCAAAGGGCAACAGAGAAAAATGCCTTGTGGATACTGTAGGAGATGAGTGGAATACCCTTTAAGAGCTTTTCTTGCATAGACGACTATTATTGTCTGAATCTTCAAACGGCGCTACAAAGTGGGTACATAAAAACAAAATGCACTCTATGCGATAAGTATAATCAAGTTGATAAGATTGGCTATCTCGATCATCGCAACTAACACATATTCGGCCTTGCGATAGTACTTGCTTTCGTCCTGTTCCCTAAACATCCGAATTTGCCGCTGAAACGAGCAAAGGAAAAGTAAATGTTTGCTCACCTCTTATTGCCCTTTTTGCCGCTTTCACCGCTGTGAAAGATAATTTTCTTGAGAAGCGGTAGGACAAGTGCTGCGGTAAGCGCGAGTACCACAAGCAGAAGATTTCCCATCACATACTTGACTGAAATTCTTTGACATCTTCAGAAGAAAAGAATTACTGCAGTTCCGCATCTTGTTTCTTTTAGAAACATGAGAGTTCGAATCCAAAGTCAATAGGTAACCTAGTCTACGCTTACGAATTCAAAAATAATAGATTATATGCCTATTTTTGGTTGTCGTTCTAATTTCGGAAGCGATGTTGCGAGAATTCCCAATATGAAACTCAGCGACATTATGCTCGTTAGCGCCATTCCAAGCTGTGAATATAAAAATTACTGATGAGTTCCCCAAAAAACCTTCACCTTTCCTATGATGTCAGCTGATTTTGCAACAATGCCTATGATTGACAAAATATTGATGACGAATGCAGGTATGATGATCATTGTGATGTAGAATGATGGACGTCTCCTCATCCATACATAAATGTTGTTCTGGACGGGGTTGGAAAATATTAGGTTGTCCCAAAGTCCTTTTCGTTTTCGTCTTTCAACTCAACAAGAAACACGTGGAAGGCGGGCAAACATCTTGAAGACTATTCGACGCAAAGTCTTCTCCTTCTCAACAGCCATTTTTCCATAGTATTTGCTTATGTGATCATCAAAATAATCGTTGAAATTTCTGGCCAAGGTTTTCCCCAAGTTTGACAATTTCTCAAAACGTTTGGTGGCAACTTCTGGAAAAGCAATGGATAAATGCAAAGTGCAATAAAAGAAATCTTTTTCCAAAATTCGCGATTAGCTTTGCACTATCATATCCAGACGTCTTCATTTTTGCAAGGTCACTGATACACGAACGCGTCAAAGAGTGAGATATCTTTGGAATTAAGTTCTTCAAAACACAATAGCCATTCAATGCTGATTTATATAATTCAAGATTTCGGGTGCGGTCATATTTACCTCCAGAAACACAACTAGGACGGTGTCATTCTTAAAGGTTTCACAAATCGAAAGAAAAACGCCTACAAAAAAAAACAGGTGCATCGAAAATTAGACAATTTGTTTGTCGGCTGATGTTTTGTAAGGTGGCTCGGCTAAAAGTTGTCAAAATCACAAAAATAATTTCATTTGAAATACTAGTCGGTTTTTTTTTATCCTCGCATATGTCCCGCTTACGCAGGGTCTGCTTTTCTTGTGAGACGTCTCCATGTCGTCCTATCTGGGGCAAGGTCTTCATCTATACCAAGTTCTCGCATGTCGGCCCTGATTCTGTCCATCCACCTCATCTTGGGTCTACCTCTGGGCCTTTTGCCTGGTGCCTTCACAGCCAGGGCCAACTTGGTGATGTGACTTTCATCCCTTCTGCGCACATGTCCATACCATCGCAACTTCCTTTCCTGCATTTTCTGGGCAGTTGGAGCTACTTTCATTCGTGCTCGTATAGTGTCATTGCAGCTGTGATCCTTCAGTGTGACTCCTAAGGTCCATCGTAGCATCCATGTTTCCACTGAGCTTGCGCTCCTCGTTCCGCGTACACGGTCAGTACTCACTGCTATACAGTGCTGCTGGGCGGATAATGGTCTGGTACATTTGGGACTTAAGTTGCACTGGCATTCATCTGTCGCACAGAACTCCTGTTAAGGCTCTCCATTTCATCCATGCTGTGTTCATCCTGCCTGCGATCCTCATGTAAGCCTCCCTCCGCTGAGATGCGACTGCCTAGGTACTTGTATGACGTTGTCTTCTTTAGCCCTTCACCATCGATGCTTATGGTACCTGGAGTTTGTTTCCCCACTTCCATATATTCTGTCTTCCTGGTGTTGAGCTTCAGGCCATACAACTCTAGCCTGTTTTTCCGTTTTGCACCTCGTCTTGTAGCTCCTTTCTGGTACTTGCTATCAAGACCACATCATCTGCGTAGAGAAGTGTCCAAGGGCGTTCACGTCTAAGCGCTTCCATCATGGCGTTCATCACAGTGATGAAGAGCAAGGGAGAGAGAACTGAACCTTGGTGTACTCCAACCTTGATTTTGAATTCTTTCGATTGCCCTGCAGCTGTCTGCACGTAGCTTGACGCGTTCTGGTAAATCAACTTTATCCACTGAACGTACTCCTCTGGCACCCTGTGTTTCCGTAGCCCACCATATGACGTCATGGGGCTCCTTATCGAAGGCTTTCTCCAGGTCCAGGAAGGCTGCATGCAATTCCTTCTGCTTCTCTCTGTATTTCTCTATCACTATTCGAGCCGAGTGGATTGCATCAGCTGTACCTACTCCTTTCACGAATCCGCACTGATTCGGTGACAACTCTATGATATCTCGAAGGCGTGTTTTGATTACCCGCTCGAAGATTTTTAGAGTGTGGCTCATCAGTCGGATTGGTCGGTAGGATGCGTAGTCTGCTATGTCTCCTTTGTTCTTCCATATCGGGATGGTCGTGCTGGTGTACCAGTCGCGAGGCATACTCTTGCTCTTATGATTTGAGGTGGCTCCGGATTGTCCACATAATTTCCAGAACTCGCTTGGTATGTCGTTTCGACCAGTCGCTTTGCCATTCTTTGTTCTTCTTATAGCCAGCCATACTTCCTCTTCCGTGACGCTGGTACTGGTCCCTTTATGGGGCTGGCTTCTGGGATGGAGTTAATGGTGCGACCTGTGGTGGCCATCTCTTCGAAGTAGGTTTTCCATCTTTCGGTAATGTCCTCTGGTTTTCTTAGAGTCCTACCAAGTTTACAGAAGCCTTCGCAGCACGTTTGGCTTGTTGGTACGTCTGACGATCGTCCTCTGGTTTCGTCTTATGCCATCGCTTGTACGCATTCCTCTTCTCCTTTATGACTTTTTGCACTTCATCAATCCACCACTACGTTTCTCGATTGATCCTTCTTTCTCCTGGCTTTGTACTTCCCAGGATCATGCGTGCTACTTCGTGGACTCGATCTTTCAAGCTTTCCCAGGATTGATCTGGGTTATCTTGCAAGCGTGGTAGAGTTGTTAGCAATGCTTGTTTCGCCGCGTTGTTGCCTTTCAATCTCCACCATTTAATGCGTGTCCTAGTCTCTGTGGCTCTCCTGGTATGTCTATCTATTGGGATTCTAATGTCGAGAAGCGGTGGTTTGTGTTGAGGTATGCAGCTCTCACCGGAAATGACTTTGCAGTACTTTAGGTTTTCTGAGGTCACGTTGTCGGATAGCCCAGAAGTCTATCTGTGTTCGCCGATCGCCACTCGCATATGTTATGGGGTGATCATCCTTCTTGATGTAGTATGTGTTCGCCAGGACCAGATCATGAGCTGACTGAGCTTCCAGAATGCGCTCACCTTCTTCGTTGCATGTTCCGTATCGGTGGCCTCCGTGACATTTCCCGGCTTCTCCTCGCGTTTTTCCCACATGTCCGTTGAGGTCAGCTCCTAGCAGGAGTGTCTCATCCAGTGGATTTGAACTGATGTAGTCCAACTCCTGCCAGAACGCGTCGTTTTCGTCATCCTTACATTCGACTTGTGGCGTAGGCGGTAATTACTCGTAGGACCTGTTTCCCAGTATCCATCTTGATGCTCATCAGACGATCGCTTATGCGCTTAAAGTCAAGTATATTGCTTCGTAGAGTCTCCGAGACAGCTATACCAACCCCGTTTCTGGTGCAGGTGGCACCGTTGTACAGGAGCTTATATCCATCTCCGATGTCGCGTGACTTTGCCCCGCTCCACTTGGTTTCTTGTATGCAGGCTACATCGACTCGCCGTCTCTTCAGAAGATCTTCTAACTCAGGAGAACGAGAGGTAAGTGTGCCCATATTGATGGTAGCTAGACGGAGAGTCTGCGATGCCTTGGTTCGTTGCCTCTGGTGAACTAGCCGCTTTAGCCGTCTCCGTTCACCTTCCTGAGACGGTAACCCTCACCCACTCTTTGCATTCGTCGGGTTCGAATGCGTGTCGCTTCCGGGGGACGCCCTAGCCTTTACTCGAGATTCTATATGAGACATGTCTGCTATGGTGATGCGACGGGGTGTTTCTCAGCCGGCTTGTCGCATGCCCTTCTTTGGAAAAAATTACGTAAGAAATCAAAGTTAAAGAAGAAAATACCCTAGTTTTGTATCTTAGAATTGGGTCGCCAATTTGCTCAAAAACTCTGCTGCAGTCAGTAATAATTGTTGCAGGGAAAATTTCGTAAGCATGTACGCACTATTCGATCGTTTATAACCCCTTCTCAAAGTCTTTTGCCTACTTCCAAGCACGATTCCATAGAGCTGGCTTCAGCTTAGATGGTAGTATGGGGCAAAGCATCGTTCTATGTTTATGACTGAAAATGCGGTAGCCTAGACATTTCTAGCAGATCGCGAATTAGCTGATAGTTTTGAGATAAATTCTCAAAAAATCTGACAAGTTGTAATAAGTGGTTTCTCAAACACGCTGATTTCACTGCTTAAAGGCAGCGTCAGGGCAAAATTTCGCCTCTCATGTTTCTGCGATTCTGGGGCCTTTCCGTGGCCCTGATTACAGTTGTAAAGTCGAAATATCTTGGGGACCTTCTCTTCAAAAGGCGGACGAGTTTCGAATTGCTCGTCCCCATCGTCACGCCAGCGGGAGGAGCTGCAAGTGCACGGATGCAGTTGCATTGCAGTGTGCAGTGCAACTGCAATGCAACTGCAATGCAACCGCACACCTGCGTAAGCACTCGTCCTCAGGGGTGGTTTGTGATACGAAGGGGCGGCTTGTGATACGTATCACAGGCCCGCATCTCCTTTTAGAGGCCACGTCAAAGGATTGGACCAACGCAGATCGGATACTCATGGGCCCCTTTTTACAACTATGTGCTAATCTGGGTGGATGGATCTTGCCTGGACGCTGCCTTCAACTCTCTACCAGTCTCAAGGCTTATTAATAGTGTGTAATCACCATTTTTACGGAGATTGCGAAGAAAGTTGTTACGGTATACTTGCATATCTTACAAATGATGCATCGGCAAAGTGCACGCTTTATATGTGAGGTGCAACTTTGGTTGACTAATGTCAATTTTTACGCTGTTTGGTTTGCTTTCTTATTCAGAGTAGGCCTCAGTGGCTTAAAGTCTTCTACAAGGTCTTCACCGTAATCCTACAGTAATGCAAAACATCTTGGGAAGAGGAATATCAACTATCGTGCATACATACTTTCGGAACATCCTGTATAAGAAAAATAAGTCCACAGAGAAGTAATGGAAATGCTAACGGTCGACCAACGTTGAGCATGAAGTCAATGCATTCCTACTATTTCTTTATACTTTTCAGAAAGTGCGATAATTTCTTGCTTATGTGCCTTATAGACAATTTCATGTACTATGCGACTGCATCCTTAATCTGCTTCGTCCATCTCTTTGTACCTTTATTACTAACTGCACTTTGTTTTATTCCTTAACCATCCTTATTTTTTTTATAGATTCAGGGTGCATTATCAGTTTTACACTCCATCCTGCGTCAAGTTTTGATGTCGACTCAGAAGGTTAGCGGTCAGGGGAAAACGCACTATCTCGAAGGAATCGTTGAATTTTCGATCACGAAGGTACCTTTCCGCTGTCAAGTTTTCAGCTCTCCACTCTTCATTACCCTGAATCAGATACGTTGTTCAATCGCAAAATTCAGCAGGCAAGAGTTACCATTCTATCAAAAAGAAATTTCTTGTACAGCTGAGGAGAGAAAGCAAATTGGATACCGTACTCATAAGCAGAGAACAATGCAGACTTTATAGTAATAGAGCATATTAGTCGATCGAATGGAAAGTCCTGAGTCTGAAAAGTAAATAAATAGTAAATAATAAGCAATCTCACCACAAACTGTGTGGAGTTACGACTCACTTCCATCTGGCACACCGTATCTGTACTGGTTCTACATCGATATACGCATGTCCTGATGAGTTCAGCTGAAGAGTATGGTGACAAGTTGGTTGTTATAAACAAGCTATGGAGCTAACCCTAACAAATTTGTGGTCGTCATTTCGGTAGTCTGCAGGAGAATGCCTAAATCAAACTGAGGAAGTAGTAATTAGAATTGAGTGTGATAGAAAATTAAATATTGATACAAATAATATTTTGGTTTGATGAAGTATTTTTTATTGATAAAAATAAAACTGTTAGTTCGCGTAAAATGGAGTCCACTTATAGACGGGGTTGTATCAAAATTTGGTATATTCAGACATAAATGCCACCAAATCTCCAAATTTTTCATGCAGAACAGGTCATAGACGTGCATGTTGGCCTGGTCTGGTCGAAACTCACGCAGTAACGAATGTGATATCAGGGAACCACACATCCGAGCTTGGGGCGTATATGTAATGAATTCCGCAGTAGTCTTTTGGGTCCCACTTGAGCCGCTCATCTTTCCACTCCTGTCACAAGGGTATAATCATAATTTTTTGAAAGTAGCGATAAAGACAGAATAAAAAACCAAAATTCAGTATAGAAAGCAAAGTTGAGAATTGATATGAACTTACTATAGTGTACTCAGTAGTAAACTCCGCTTCCTGTCCCGGCTCATTCTAGAATGAAAAAGCTTGAGATATAAGAACAAATTTGACTTTGAAATGTACCATTCTAGTCAACTTCAAGTACTCTAGTGTAAGCAGAACTGTATACTTTGAAGAACTGTCGTCTTCAACGGTGGAGTTGAAAGCTAAATATAAGTGTGCAGCAATAGAGTTCTTTGTTGAGCGCGTTCGTGCTACATACCCACTACTACTGGCGACAGTTTTGGGACATAGTTTTTGAATAGCACACTGTGAAGTCTCAACTGCTCACGAAAGAAGTCACGATCTGAAAATTTTTGTTCATTTATGGTGGTTTACTAGAAATTATGTCAAGCAAAGCTTCAAATTTTCAATTTTTTCTCCGAAGTTTGAAAAACTTGAATGTTTTGCTTTTGTAAATGTTCCCTATTCTCTTCTCATTTACACAGTGTACTGGAGTATGTCTTTAAAAGCAGCGTTCTGGCAAAAAATTAGGTGCCGGATTTTTATGGCGATGTTAAAGTAAACCTAAGCGATGACTGAAGTTTGGAGAGCGGAAAAGGTAATCTACCAAGCCTAAACTTTGCTCCGAAATGGCCCGGATCTTACAGTAGGCCCGAATGTTGCCCGCACAGCGATTTCGAACTGCAAGGCCAGAGCACGCATAGCGCACGCAGTCATGAGCGCAAGGTCCTGCAACGACTCTGCGTCTCTACCTTGCATGCATCTCGTACTCGTCCGAGCCTACCGTAAAATCCGGGGCACTCGGGGGGTGATTTGTAGAATTTTTAGACCCCTTTCGCGCTGCAAACTATTGTCGTCGCTTGGCTAAGGGGTCTACTATTACATTACTAAAGAGTAAAGTACCCCCTTTGTCTTGGACGCTACCTTGCCGTATTGTACAATAATGATGTAGCATTAGAAAATGGCACTTACCAGCAATCTGACACTCCGCTAATACATGGGTGCAGATATATCCTGTCAAGCAAAGCGTGACCACAATAAGCATATGAGCCATGAATCTGTTCATACACTGGCCGTGAATTAAGCATAGAATCTAGCCCCAAAATTAGTAGTTTTAGATGTAAGACTGCTTAGAGCAGGACCACATCGTGGTCTTGCCCTAAGCAGGCTTACAATTGCAGCTACTAATTTCAGTTGTGTCACAAGATATAGTTGCTTTAGTTTTATGGTGTTTGTTTTAGTGTTTTTCAGAGAATTACTGTTTAAGCAAATATCTTGATTTTGTAGAAAATTATTTCGAAATATTAGGGTCCAAACGTTGCGAGTCAATCTCCACATTTATCTTCAACTAGCTGATAGCCCGGCCTCACCCGAGGCTCCAAATTAGTTTAGCTAACAAAATGTGTGAACTTACGCCTCTAAACTTCTTCAAACGTGCGCAAAAAGCGCTTTGAGACCTTGCCGCATCCTCCCGACTTTGAGATGGAAATGGACTCTACCGCCCTGCTTACATGATCATGGAAAAATGATCGGTTGGAGCTAGAAAAGTTTTCATTCTTCTAGATTTGAGTAAACAAATCAATAAATCGATAAAAGGGCCCAGTGAATCGCCGCGAAAAGTAGCCCTAAACCACCGCCGGGGTCGAAAACATACGCATACAAAGTTTTAGCTCAATCGGTTCAATGGCTGGCGTTTCTATAACGAACGAAAACTAAACGAACATCCTCACAGACATTGAGTTATATATATATATATATATATATAGTTGAAAACATGATGAAGTAAAAACACCGACGGCTTCAAATGTTATAACAGTGCATGCTTCGCGTATGCGAATTTTTCGGCTGAAATGAACACAAAGTATTGAGTTTCACAGCACCATTGTGAATTACCTGCCATTCGTGAAGTTTTTGAGATGTTATGATAACATTTTGAAGAGGTGACTCGAGAAAGGAGTGTCACGGTATAGCGCATTATAATATCTGAGGTCACCTATCATGATTACCGCTATGTAAGAGTTTTTAGGTTATTCGTTTCTATTCTGGACTACGTACTCGATAGCATAAAACCCTCTTCAGATTTTCAATGTTATTCTCCATAATCAAGAGATCTAAGTTAAAATCAACTCTGAAATCTTATCTATGATCATGCGACAGACGTAAAAGCAAGAAAGATATCATTGATAAAATAAAATTTGGAAAGAAATTGACGACTAAAGGGCCAAGCATACACCACGCAATTTCCTCAGCGATTCGCACACAAGTCAACTGTTAGAGTTCATTGCATGATCATCCTTATCGGCCATAATAGTTAGTAGCGATTACCCGTGCCAGAGAACTACCACAACCGAAAGGCAAGATGATCTGCGTGCAAAGAACTCGTAGCAGTTGCCTCGTTGGGTGGTTCGTGAGGCAATGAAATCGCGTAATGCGTGCCCGGCCCTTTAAATTTATTTATAAGTGACTAGCTGGCATGCCCGGCTTCGCCCGCATCGAGAATTCAACTGGCTCAATTAAGAGTAAGATCGCGCAACTTTTAAAGCTTAACTCATTACTATGCGTCTTTTTCTACTTCTCGTGCAACATGTGTAGACTTCCTTAATAGCATCGCCTTGTACTGCCCTTCCTTAGTGTGGAAAAAAATGAGTGCTACTGGTATTGTTTACACGAAGCTGGAAGCGATTGGATATCATACGATAAGAGTTCATTTTCTTCAAAATCAATAAATCGATAGAAGGAGCGGAAATTTCGACGAAAAAGGTAGCCGACGGGGTGGGCCCGCGCTAAAAACAGACTCAGGTAATCGCCGGGGGCAGTTGGTCTACAAACTCGCGCTTTTCTGCAAGCGGTCAGCAGAAATTTGGGGCGTGGCCAAACCTTCAGCTGGCGGCACTACTTTACGATCGCATATTCTGCGCGGGCAGCAATAAGTACCTGGGAGCTGCGCGGTCCTCCACAAAAGACCGTGCGGTCCTCAGAAATTTTGCACACGGAAAGTCCGCGAGAATGCGAGCACTGCGCCGCAGCTAATCTATAAGGAAACCGCGATTGTTTCCCAAACATTCGTCCAAAATTTCTCTCAAATTCTTCCAAATATCTGCAAGCGGACCGCAAGAAATCAGCGAACTAATTCTCCGGTGCCCGCCCGCCCATAAATCGCATGGCCGCCTGCCCCCGGCTATTATCTTAGGATGTGTGCGAAGTTTCGCGCTGATTGGTACACAAAAATTTCCGTAAGGAGCATACTAACTAACAATTTACCAACACTCAGCTTTTTATAAGTATAGATAAGTGTTGCGCACCTGTTGCTCTGCATTTCAACTTAGCTGAAGTTGTATGCTCAATCAAAATCGCAGCACACTTTCACAATACCTGAGTTTCGTAGTGCTTGTTTATCTCTTCCGTTTACAAAGACTTTATGAATTAGAATGTGGACCAAAGCTGCGTAGTATAGGAAAGCGTAGAGGCGCTTCCTTGATTTTTCATTGTAAAAAAGGGGTCCTGTACAAGACTTATCTGAGCATGAGGAAGGCAGTATGTTGAAAGACCATGCGCATAAAGTATATGGTAAGGAATGTCGTGTGTGTGCTTGCAGTTATGCATTATTAATTATTTTACAGAAGAAAGATAAACAGAAGCCGAATTTATGTGGGAGAGTGAAAAGGAGTGTGAAATCCTATCTTAAAATTCCCACGCTGCACAGTAGAATTTCTTCAAAGGCAGAATGCAGAATTCACTCCATTTTGACTCTTATGTTTTTACTGTTATCGGACCTTTCCATGACCCTGATTTCGGATAGGCTGTGCAAATTGTGGAAGAAAAAATTCTAAAACTGCCCTTTTTTGAAGCCTCATCTTGACAGAAGTGAACGAGTGCTTCGGCGTTAGTCACATCATATGTAACAAGAAGTATCCGTCTTGACGTTGCCATGTCATAACGCATCAACGGGGGTGGACCTCCGGAGGATCGGGTGACTAGCAGATTCGTTTTTTCTCTTGGGTACGGTACGGCAGAGGAAGATCGTACCAACACAGTTGGTGTTCTTCTAGGGCCTACATATACAATGTGCATTTATATAAGCATCGTGGATTTTAAGTGAACGCTGCCTTCAAAGAACGAAGCTGTCCCAGTTTACTGTGGCACTGCTGCAACTTCCAGCGCCGTAAACAGCATATATTTAGCAGCAATCCGGTGAAGTCCCGGAAACTTCTCCGAGTTCACCGAAATTCGCGCCGCATCTCATATCCTATTTCAGAATGGAAAAATCTGAATCCAAGGGCACCGCTTGACTCAGTTCGGCAATGCTCATCTTCTGATTTATAAAAGTGCTACAGTCTGTCTGCTGGCGTACGGCAGGTGCACGGTAGGCGTCAATCGTCATTCTTCAATTTTTGCAGACCTTGGCTTAGTTGCCTTATTCAACGTGCTGATAACAGCATTTACATTGCTTTGTCGCTGGTGGCGCATTGCAGGAGTACTGTAGAGGAACGGTAAAATGTCATTCTGCTCGAATTCTGCTCAAAAATCTGTTATGGTGTATTCCAATGATTGCAAAGAAATCATTTGCTGCTAATGGCACAGTGCAAGTATAAAATGTGAAGTCAATTTAGTTGGAGTCTCTGACAAGTATGGCCAATTTGTGCATGTTCAAAAAATACTAGTTGATTTGTATCGTTATGGTTGTTATCTCGACGGAAGATTATCTGCAGGCTCGTTTTCGAGACCAGAAAAGACTGGGAATTCTGGAAATACGCAAGGTCTACTCAACCATTTATAATACTTACCATAAGTCTACGATATTGCCTTATAATGTCATAACGTCACTTTGGTCGGCCTGGCACCTACCTAGGTAGAATTTCACTTTAATCTGGGGTCCTAGACTATATTGCCTAGCTTCTTCGTATGCTCTTCGTATGCTCAGTGCTTATGGTATATAGAAAGGTCGCATAGGCATCACGGACCCTTTATTTTCGTAAAAGCTAGATATAGTGCAGAACGCTCTTTGATGTAAGGGCGAGCAGACTTGGAAACTTCATAAACCAGAATCTACCTACTGTAGCCTTATAGTGTGATGCTCTGCACAGCTCTATCGAAAATAATCCAAGGAGTTTGAGCAAGCTGATTTTTTTCAATTCCTCGCTTCTGAGCTAGGCGTAGGTTACTGAGCTTTTCATGATCTCGAACTAACCAGAAATTTCGCTCACAGAGGTTTTTGGGCCCTCTGTGCAGGAATCTGTGACTTCGCGTTCTTTAGCGGGACCTTCAATGTACGTTCTGCAATACACCCAGGTTTCACGTGAACAACAGGCCCGAAAAACCTTCGTGGGCGGAATTTCCGGTTAGTCCGAGATCATGAAAAGTTCAGTACTTGGCCTAACTCATTAGCGAAAAAAGAGACAAAAATCAAATGGCCTCGGGTTGCGATAGAGCTTATGCAGGATAGCATCATACTGTAGGGCTACAGTAGATAGATTTTGCGCCATAAATTTCTCCCTAAGTTTGCCAGTCGCCCTTACATCAAAGGACCTGTGTTATGTCTAGTTATCACAAAATTAAAGAGTGCTTTATTAAATGATGCCTATACAAACTCTTCATCAACAATAAGCATTACTGTAAACTTATGATTAGTAAATGGTCAGTGGACTTGCATAGTTCCACAATACACCAGTCCTTCTCTGGGTTTTGAAGACGAGCTTGCAGATAATCTTCTGTCAAGGTATTATAATATGTGGACATAGCTCTATCCAAAAATGCTTACTGAAGCTTTACGTACAATGTGCGCTGAGCTATAATATCACGAAATTTCCACACAAGCAGCTAAATCACGTAGCTTCTATGCAACTTCGATTTCCAGAAAACAAAATTAGATCATCAACTTAACTTCTAAGTTTTGTCGTGTACTGTATCTGCAAAACTCGCAAGGGTCCAGCATGTTTCGATTAAACATGAGGTTTGCAACTGTTAATATTGCGCAGAACGTATTCTTAATGTTGATATTGCTTCTTTTGAAACTACTATCTGATTCCGATCGTTTGGTTTTGTTGCATGATGTAACGATAAGTCCGCAAAGGAAGTTCGATTGGTTGAACTGGGAATTCGAAAGATGTTGTATGCCTACGGAAAGGGCTCAAAACGCTCCCAAATATAGCCTCTGTATTTGCGAAGCTTCCCCATAGGGTTTTTTTCTTATTTAAAAGGGAAGTGTGGTCTCAAAGGAAAATGACGACCTTGAATGACAGCACGGATGGACACCCTCGAAAAGTCCAGATTATATCAGCTTAGACTTACAATGCTTGATAGGTGTTTTGCCTGGGCGGCATACTTTTGTGTGAAGTCTACCAAGCTTTCACAACCAAAAGTACCCAAAATTTGACATAGGAGAAGCTCATAGCTTTTTTTGGAATAGCGCATCATAGATATGGAAGGTATATCTGACATCGATCAAAGCTCTATCCATGAGTATACATCGCCTTCCGAATCGTCACCGACCAAGCGAACTTTCCTTGTAAGTAGCATACAGCTGCTCACAAGCACATTCGTTTCATTCAGTTAGGTAGGCTTTAGGCTAACCGTTTAGCTGCTTCAGCACGACGCGGCGTAATTGAAACAATGTCATTTGCTGTCACGTTGAACGGAAATCGAAGTGGCGTCTGCAATGTTAGCAACAACAGTAAGTTTGAGGAGATGTTGAAAAGGCCTCGCAGATTGAGAGAAATGATAATAAGATCTTCTAATGAAAAAATTTTGTTGTAGCGAAGTCGCGGGCGCCGATTCGATCTTATTCCAGCGTGAAACCGAACGACAGTAATTGCGCCGCCTCCTGCTGAAGCAACTAATCGGCTCTGGCGCCTATCTTAAAGACATATCTCAGCAGAATTGGGATAGTGCGAGTCTCCACATATTTCGTTGGAGGATCACCTGAACAGGCGACCGCCCCAAGTCCCACTCGATCCGGGCCCTTCTACGACGAGAAATTCGCCCTCAAATCGGCCCGCAACGCGCGACTTGGCCCGCACTGCCGGCGCTCCCGGTTTCTCCCTTACGCGTTTCAACACGTCCCTCCACTTGGCGTCCACCTTCATGGTGCTGAGGTCACCTTGGCGATAGGCTGAGAAGACACAACTTGTCCGCGCTGCTAGCACGGGACTTTCAAGGGGTTTTTGTGCATTTCATGCGATTTTGGACCCGCATTAAGTTAGACAGGGAAAAAAAGGTTTGCAGTATGCAAAAATCTTAACAAACAAAACACTGCCTTTAATACTTTGAATCGTGAAGTTGAAAAAAATACAAAAAAAATTCCAATTGAATTTGTGCAGTATTGATCGATAGGATCATGTCAAAATTTCCGATGCACTTTTGTTCATGCAAATGAACTTCTACATACCGCTTCCAAATATCGGCGTAGTATCGGCTCGCTACTGGTTATGACGTCAGCATTTGTAGCTGATTATGCTTTACTGTATCTATGTCTGTGTCTGCTATTTGCTTGACACCTGCTAACTGCGATTACTTCTTGTTACGATTTTCGCTCAACACCAAACACCTTCTGTTCACTTATCTGCGTAAGGAACACTACGATTCAGAAAATTGGAAAATGTCTTTTTTCAACCAGGTAACAACGGTGTTTTAGATTTGAGAAGTTATCTACGAGTTCTTTTGTGGTACTTTGATGGTCACCGTCTTCACTTCCGTGTACGCTTCGAGTCCATATTCTCCCAGCTCGCGACCAATACCTCAAAAAGAAAGCTTGAAAATAGTCACCAAAAGGAGTAGGAAGAAAGCTTACCCGATTGTTTGTAGCCTCCAAAAGGCGCTGCCGCATCAAACACGTCCCAACAGTTCACCCTAGAAAAAAATGTTCGTGCTTCAGAGATCAGCGTTCTGGCTTCCATTTGATTTGTATAAAACGAACGAGCTTACCAGACAGAACCTGCCCGAATATTATTAGCCACATAAAGTGCTTTGTCAAGGTCATTTGTCACGACTCCAGCGGCAAGTCCGTATATGGTATTATTTGCAATGTCAACTAAATCCTTCATTGTATCAAACCTGATCACGCTCATCACTGGGCCAAATATCTGGAAAAATTTGAGCATTTGATTTAGCTCTTTGTCCAGAATTCTGCGGGGTGGGCTACAAAAGTCCAATGCTCTGATTTAAGTAAGCAATTCTATATACAGGCGAATATGTTCCCAATCTAGGGTAAATATAAAAAAACTTGCTTCTTCTTGAGCGATCACCATCTCATCTTTCACGTCTGCGAAGATAGTCGGCTCGTAATAGAATCCTTTGTCGCCCCACCTTTTTCCACCTAATTAATACACGTGATCAATATTCACATGTTAAGGAACGTCCGTAGGTTGCCGGCAACGGTTGTCGGTGTTGTCGGTATTGTCGGGGTCAGAGACAGTAACTCCTACAACGCCGGCAACCTCGGCATCCCCGACAACACCGACAACTCCGACAACACTCACAACAGCGACAACCGTTTTCGCCCTATGGCGGTTCCCTTAGGCCTAAGGCATACCCCGCGCGATTCGGCTACGCGATCCGGCACTTTGCCAGATATCTTCAAATTTTTCGTGCACGGTCCTTCAACACATGGAGGTGTAGCTTCTGTAACTTGCTGCAAACCGATTAAGTCCTGCCTTAAGGAGACGCTTTGACGACCACTTATGAACAGTCCTTCCGGTACCAAATCGCGCAGCGACTGTAATCGCGTGAGGTATGCCTCAGGCCTTGGGCTGCTGCATAAATTCTGTCCCAAATTTTTTAAGTTAATGTCATAAACTTCTTTCAAAGTCAACTTTTTCAAGATCTTAGTTTCTACGTGTTGTGCAGCCTTTTGACTATCAGACACATACTGAGACTTGCGAAAATTCTAATTTTGGAGAAGAAGCAAGAACTCAAAACCTCACAGCGTTTTTCTTTAAACTTGCCTTTTTTGACATGACAGTGCTCCATTTCGAGAACTGATCGGCATCTTATCTGATAATGGATAGATAGAGAAATTTTCGTAGATTAGTTGCCGAGAGAAATTTTTGATCGAGCAAAAAAGAAGCCCTTTTTGATCTCGCTTCAGCACATTGTGCATGCCTTTCTATGAATTATGAAAATTTTACAGTCGACGTGAGCGCCGAAAAGGAGTTGGTGGATGGGCTCTGCTAGCTCCTGCTTTACCCTAGCACCTCCAACTTTGAACTCATCGATTACTTCTATTCGCAGGAAGTTGTTGCTTGTAAAACATTTATAAAAAAAATAAATGTTCGACAATAAATTTTACTAACAAGATATTTCCTTCATCGAACTCAGCTCCTGCATACACTAGCCTTCTACACCCTTATTCCGCATCTGATGAAAGGACTTGAATTGGCGCATTGTGGAGATTTTCTCGCAAGAACACATTTCAGGGTGAAATTGTAATTCGACTATTTGGATATTTTAGGTCTGAAATCTCCTTACACTAAGAAATTTATTGAAATTTGACATGCGCTAGAAAGAGCAAGAAAAGCGCTTTCTAATAGTACTAACAGTATCGCATTAGATATGAAATTCTCTTAAAACAACTGCTTCAAACATAAAGCAAAAAATCGGACAAAACTTATGCAGCAGCCTTCCCTTTCTACAGGGCTCTGCGTGATTGCGGGAGTCGGTGAGGTTGCGGCCATTGCTCGCGCATTGAGCTTTCCCGGTTTTTTTTTCTCCTTTCAAACTTTTTTCTGCTATCATATGCAAGCTTTTAATTATTTAAAGCGCGCCTGAAAAGTACGAGGTTGTTTGATTGGATTGAGGCCTTGTAGCATCCTGCTTATGCAGTGGCCACAAATCCACCAACTCTCGCAATCATGCAGAGCGCTGTACATCTTTTGGTACTCTTTACTCATTAAACATTTCACGTTTTTGGTGTTTAATTTGCAAATTACTTACTAAAGCTTTTCTTCCTACTCAGACAATCACAGGCTCTCAGCCGGCAGCCACAAAGCCACCGCGCTTTTGGTGGGTTTTCGCGGTGGCTTTGTGGCTGCCGGCTGAGAGCCTGTGATTGTCTGAGTAGCGACCGTGCCGAAATCTCGGAGATGTTACAAAGTTTCCATACTCAATCGTAACATATTTGGAGTGTGAACAAGTACTTTACAACTATACTGTACTTCTCGCATAGGAAACAATGTTTATCTGAGATGAAGATTCACTCACCACAGACGAGTTTAGCTCCTTGTTTCTTGCCAGATTCTACGTAGCGGATGATTGTCTGCAGCTGTCCATCGTCTATCTAAACTACAATTCAGCACAGTCAGCACAATTGTCGTAGCACTCCTCACCTGAGGACCTTGTTCAGTTTTCAGATCGAATGGATCACCAAGCACACGCTTCTCAGCCAGCTCTTTCGATTTAGCAACAAAATCGTCGTAAATCTAGAGGATATTTTTGAGATTCCGTTGAGTTCATCTGGACTTCACCTTTCCTTCGACAAAAACTCTGGATCCTGCACAACATGTTTGACCTTGATTGAAGTATATACCATGGTGAGCCTGTTTTGCAGCGAAGTCCACTAAATGTTAGGCGCTGCTCGTACAAACAACTGCAGTTATTTTTTAAGTTCTCTTTGACGAATTTCTTCTTTTGAAGACATTGAGGTGGTCCCAATTTTTGTGTAAGGTACGCTTTAAAGTGTGGTTCCTGATCTACTGAAAGTGTCAGTATAAAGGTTTGGAAGGAAGCAAATGAGAATTAGAAATGATCGGGAAATATCGAAAACAACAAAAAACTCTTTTTTTCTTCCTTTGCTGCATAAAATCCTTTGAGTCAAGGACCAATAAAAGCTCATGGATAGACCCTACAATAAAGCGAATGAAATAACCTAAAAATAAAGTAAATCAGTAAAGTAAATAAAAAATCTGGAGTAAGAATGTTACTGAGGTGTATTTAGTACCACAAGTAAAGGTACTCATTAAAAGACTTTGTAAGAACACTAATGAATATTACTCCGATTCGATCCTTAACTCAGACCAGTTTTTTTATGATTTCTACTTACCCGAAACTCCTCAATAAGGAAGGAAGACTCAGAATCATGTATGGTTATTTGTGTTTAAAAAGATATATAACTTTCATTAGTTAGGTTGGTAAACGTTTTGAGACACGTTTTAAGGAAAGATGAGTATATCATTGAAAAGAGCTGATCATGCTCTTCAAAACAAACAGATCATTTTCGATGAAAAGCTGTCTTTTGATTTCTCAGCTTTCAAAAAAGAAATCTTGAAAGGCAAAAAGAAGGATTTTCGGCATTTGCATTTTCTCTGATAAATAAGCATTTTGCACGTAGTTTTTTGCCGTGGAAGATGGGGTTTTCTTGTCAAAATATAAAATAAGACTGATTTGCTTGGCACTAAAAATTGCTGAACAACAAGAAGACTATTGCTTATACCGTGTGCAACCCGATTGCACACGGTATAAGCAATAGTCTAAACAAACCTTACTGCAGAAACGTCTTGATAAACAAGACTAGTGAAGTGAAACTAGTGAGCTTTCCTGCGCGACAGAACTTTGCGTTGAGCGGGAGGTAAATCAGTATCCAACGTATTCCTGAGATCTCGCTCTAGCACATTGCCATCATTCTATCACAAATCAATAGACACTGTCTGTTTTGACTCTCAGACGATCTCAGGCGCTGGTTAGATGACCTGCTTGGGACCACACGCGCTGAGATTTGAAAAAAAAACGAGACTGAAAATTTGACGGCAAGGTCGAAGGAGGCTATGCTCAACATGCATAACTGACTAAATTTTGGGAATGTGTACTATAGGGTTTGCTCTATTTATCCGTTAATTGGACTTCTTCGGGGAACCAGTACAAAAATTCAAAAAAAAAACTCAAAACTTGACCCAGATGAAAACCATTGTTTTCGTTGTTTTTGGTGATTTTCTAAGAGCTCATTTGTTGAAGTGCCATTTGAAGATAACTATTTGTAAAAGCATGAAAAACTTATCAAATACCAACAGAATCTTCTGTTGAATATTATTCTGCGTACTCTGGCGCTTATTCAAAAAAGCGAAAATACTTTCGGGACGACCTAATATCGTCTCGAATCCTACACGATGCGCACAACAAGGAAAATTTTCAGCTAATTTTTGATTCTGTTGATTCGTTTTTCATTCCTCTTTTCCGACATGTTGGCGGCATCAAAATGCTGCTATAAAAGAGATAGTGCGATGATACGGAAAAAATGGAAAGAGAAAACACAATTAGATACAGAAAAAATTCAAAGAAAATAAGAGAATTTGAGTATGCCCATAAAGTTGTCGCAAGTTTGCTAGCTATTCGTGCATTTGCGACATCAATCACATTGTTGTGTATGCTCTGCCGTGTACGATATATGGAGCAATTTTGAAAATTCTAGAGAGTTCCAGAATTTTTCAGAAATTCACAAAAAAGTATAACAGAAATTATTCGCCAATTTGATATATTCGATTTTATTCTATTAGAAGATTAAAGGGATAAAATCATTCCTTTTCAGCAATTGAATATAGATATAATTGTAGTGATATAATAACAGTTTTTGATGCATGTATATTTGAGTTGTAATGTTCGATCTAGGAAGTTTTCAAAGAGGGAACACGTACTGGAGAGCTGGCGTGGTGATCTTACAAGGGAAAGAATGTGGGTCGAAGTGCTCTTTCAGAATGAGGTGGGTATCATCTTGTGGGGTCTCGAACGCTGATTTCAAATCTGCCTGCCTTATCTGCGGCGCGTTTTTAAGCGAGGAGTTGTGAGGGTTTTTAGGGGGCGGAAGTCGATACAAGTACAATCAAGGACAGCACCACACCGCTGTGTGACGTCTGGTGTAATGGTTAATGTGGTGGTCTTGCAGGTAGAGGCTCTTAGGTTCGAATCACCTGTTGTGGTTTGCTGGTCTACAAAAAATTTGTATGAGCAGGGCAGCGTCCTACACCACCCCCTGTTTCTTTAATCAGAATCTCGAGGCAATAACTGCTCCTCTGAAGGTCTTTGCAAGTGATTTGAAGTGGAGAGAGTACTGTCAAAAGAATCAATTTGTCACATGACACCCCGATGAACGTAAGAGGTCATAATGTTCTCAACATATTCGACAATGTTCAGCTTATTCCTGGTACACCAGCGTCTACCTTATTGCATATCTGGGAGATTTTGAAACGCCTGCGCAGTACTGCTTCCCTTCCAATTTGATAGGAGACTGTGACCATTCGGATTGTTCAGAAATAGTCTTATTAGTAGCTCTCATTGTGAAAAAAGCCTATGTTTTGCACATTTTGTCCTCTCCTTTCATCAATGCATTGAAAGAAGGAGGAGGTGATGTAGAGACGATACGCGAGCTCATACAAATTTTTTGTATGACCAGCGAACCTGGGAGCCTCTGCCTGCAAGACCACACTGACCACTATACCAGACGGCACACAGCGTTGTACTGTCCTTAATTGTACTTGTATCGACTTCCGCCCCCTAAAAACCCTCATAACTTCTCGCCCAAAAATGCGCTGCAGATAGGGAAGGCAGATTTGAAATCAGCGTTCGAAGCCCTACTAAGAGGCCACTTTGACCCACCTTTCTCCCTTGTTAGCAACAACTTTGCTCTGTTTTACTGCTATCTCACTGAAAGAAAAATTTTAAGCCGTATCTAGAACTTACAGTCACAGTCGGCGAAGATGATGTTCGGGCTTTTGCCACCGAGTTCTAGCGTCACTTTTTTCACATTGCTTTGTGCTGCTGCTTCCATTACAAGTTTCCCAATCTCCGTGGACCCAGTAAAAGCAACTTTGTCAATTCCCATATGCTCTGTGATAGCATTACCAACGATTGGTCCAAATCCGGTTATGAGATTTACAACTCCAGGAGGAAATCCTGCCTGCACTTAAGAGTTCATGTATGATTTCAAGAAAATTTTTATTATTATGAACCTCCTTGACAAGGCTTGCTACATGAAGTGCTGAGAGGGGTGTTTGCTTCGCCGGTTTCATGACCACGACGTTTCCCATTGCGAGGGCGGGTCCTAGTTTCCATGCTTGCATAAGAAGCGGGAAGTTCCACTAAAAGCGCATTGTATCAGGCAGCCCACTACGTTGACTTTGGAAATCTAACATTGTTTGGATAGTCAGAACCAAGTTAAAAAAGTTTTTGTTAGATTTTTTTGCGCGAATTCAAGTCTAGGTTGTAAAAACCTTGTAATCAATGCTGCATTGTTTTTGATGCTATTTCAAAGTAGTAGGAGGAAATGGGTTTTTCCAAACAAACAGCCATTTTTTGGCAACTTTCCCAGGGGGAAGAACCTCATGCACTACCGTTATGCCTTCAAGTTATGTCTTATTACGTCTTACCTCTTTTGCGATCCAATTTTCGCTTTCAGAATTTCGCTTTCTATTTTGAAAAATATATACATTCAAATTAGTCGTCAGTGTGATAGCTGTATTTATAGACACTAGAGAAAATCTATGAGGTTACACTGCTCAAGTGGCCTTGCCTTGCCATTATTTTGGCGAAAAAAGTCAACAGTATTGTTATCGGATCGTTTTGTGATTGCGTTGCGGCAATTCATTCTACAAATGATCGTAAGAGGATTGGGGGACTCGAATTAACCAACAGAGTCAGTCATTTCAACAGAATGATATTTTGCACAAAAAGCCTGAGTAATTACCGGAGGGAACCACTGGCTTGGCGGTATGAAGCGCCGCTATGTCCAAATCGGACCCGGGCTAGCCGAACTTCACGGGAATGGTAAAATGGCACCAGAGTAATCTAGGGGGATAAAAGCAATGACTTGATCAGCGGAACAAGTCATTGAAAGGACTCGCGCGTACGTTGTTTTTTCGACTACGCAGTAGGATGCGTTTGAGCATTTTGGGGGCTACTGGACAGGCCGAGTTTCGTCCTCTTTCTTTCTATTTATCAACAAACCAACAATTTTGTCGAGTTCATGCGTTGTCGACTACGTTGCCGACCTTTAGTGGGATAGGGACTTTGACCTGGAGTAAACTCCTCAAACCCTTCCCCTTGAATCGTGACGATACGCTCGGAGCGAGGCAAATGCCCTTTTCATGCCTTTTTCCTGCCGCTCCATGTTAAGCGATTGACGGAGGCATATGCCCGAATTAACGCCGCGGCAACGCGGTCGGAGCGACAAGGCAGCACCACCGTACCCGTCATGCAGACAGTCGCAAAATAGTGGGTCTTGACTGGAGACGCAGAGAGGTCGTGGTGTCGATATATGGCTAGCAGTCGAGTACGTCCGGGGTGGTGTGCCGCTCGCCGATCTGTAAGTACACACGGCTAGCGCTAATGCACGGCAGATTTGATCGATGTCAATAGCTGATCCGCGCGCAAACAACAAAACCTTGAGCAATTACATCATTCCCCAAAATTTTGTGCTGTAACTCGCTGCAGTGCTCAAATAAGTGTGTTTTTCTCCTTCACAAAGCATTCTGAATCTACCTCGGCCAGCTTTTGCAGTTTTTGAAAGTTTTTAACTCCGAGTTCATCTTGCAACTGATTTGACCCGACTGTTTTCTACATGCTTCCCGTCATTCTTTACATTTCACCATGTGCTCATCATGCATTCTGCTGTGTTGCCCTTCACAGGTTGTGCATCGTTTTCCCTCCATCTGGGTAAAAAAAACAATTTGCTTGGTTGACGAAACGGCTCATAGCCGCCCATCGTTTGATAATTTCCCTGCAACGTACCTGTTTTTGCAAGATGTTTCTTGTTCGTTAATTCCTTTGAAAGCTATTCAGTGTTTTATATTGTTAAATTATAAATTTGACAAAAAATACGATTTTGCCGACAGCTGTGCAAAAGGGATGCTTTGTCTGATATTTGTACCAACAGTGTTTAACGCAGTGGCGTACGACGTGACACTGCGCCATGTGCAGTGGTGACTAAGAAATCTTCGTGCTCTAAATCATATATAATCTCGAAGGTAGCGTTCACATTTAAATGTAGTTCTTAAAACCTCAAACAGCGCTAGGAACTTTTGGAAACAGAAATCCTACCATTTGCGAAAAACGCTATGTTATATGAGCTGGTGATAGAAAAAGACAGAATGGATGCATTATTAAACACTAAAAGACGTGAAGCACACATCGAGCTAAATCAGAGCAAAAAATTGAATGCGCAACTAGATAAATGTGGTTGTCAAACTAGTCATAGCTCAAATAAGGCGGCGAAAGTGGAGACGTACTTGTAAACAAGAACATTCTTAGAACAGAGATTGCTGGCAAGCATTATTGCTTGATCGGGTTTTGGAAAAAAAATTAGAGAAAGATAGAACCACTGATTCAACCCTGGTTGCGCATTCAATTTTTTGCTTTAATAAACGCTCATATATTCTCGTTCAAAAATTCCGCAGTTATGGAACTCAGGTTAGTTCCGCATTAAACCTTCAATATAACACAATCATATTTTGTCACGACTGATTATTCTTTTGTAAGTGGTGCAGACTTGAAACAATCTCTGCCAAACCATTTTACCTTGGAAAATACAGAGTGTCCCAAAAAATGTGAACACTGTTTGCTTAATAACTCCGTTGCTTCGATGTCTTTCGCCGAGCTTGCACCATTCTGTGGAGCGAGGTTCAACTTAGATTTATAGTATGGAGCGAATGATTGATCGCTCTTCATTACTGTAGGATTACGGTATGAAATTCTAGCATGTGGATCTATTGTGAAATATGCCATTTGACAAATTTTTTATCAAGAAACCTGAAATATCGTGTACTAAAGTTCTCGCGCTCGCTGATTCCATTGCACAACTTTTTACGAGTGTTTATAGTTTTTCTGACGGTGTAACCACATTTTTGACAAATGCTGGAAATTCAGTTGTTGCGGTTTACCTGAAATAAATTTGGAAAGAATGATCACAGTAAAGTGGAAATTTCATATTCGAAATCAGCGGCTTTCATTACCGTGTTATAAAAGTTTTTGGCTTGTTTGGTTTTGTTCCAAGGAGAATATGGCCTCCAATGGCCTATAGTCCTTGTCAAAGTTCCTACCGTAATCCTACAGTAATGAAGAGTGGTCGATGATCCGCTCCGTACCGTAGATCTAAGTTAAACCTCGCTCTATGAAATGGTGCCTCAATCTCGGCGAAAGTCATGAAAGCAAGGGAGTTATTAGCAATCAAACAGTGTTCACATTTTTGGGACACCCAGTATATAATAAGAAGATTTTCGAGCCTTACTAGGCACGAAGCATACGAGTGGTATTGCGCTTTATTATCTGCAGACTGCAGCCTCTTTCTTGACAAAAATCCTACTTTGGCTTGCGTAGTCACGCGAGTATTAAAATTACTCTTAACGATTCCAGGTAAAAAATTTTTACTTTTGAATTCCATTCAAGAAGTGAAAGATGCAGGTACCAAAATCGCCAATTTTTGCCCCCCAAAAAATCCGCTTTGGTTACAATACGAAGATGCCCGTATTGTAACCAAAGCGGATTTCAACATTTCGAATACATCTTCAGATTTCGGATACAGCCCTTCCATAAGAAAGTGACGACAAAAGAAGACTCCATGAACTTATAAAGCAACTCTAAAGTTTGATCGTGCTCTCGGTACTGCAGTACATAATTGATCATGTGTGTTTGGCGTTTTTCCGTGCACTACTTCTTATGCATTACAGATGGCAGAAAGAAAGACCCCGTTTTTAGAGCAATGCTTTCTTCGTTTTTTGAAGTTTTAAAAATTTTGCTGCGCCACTGTGACCGATGAATTCAGGGTTCAAATCAGTCTCTGAACCAACACTCTCAACTCTTTTCCCGTAATTTGTACCAAAGTGAATTCCAGTTACTACATCACCTCATCATCACATTTCTCACCCAATAAGGTGGCAAATGTACTTTGTTTTGGAAACAAAAATGACTCAAAAAATGGCATAAACTGCCGAAGAAGGCTTTCATTACACTCTGACAGTTACAGAGCTGTTACACGCTATGCATACCTCGTGGAAATCCGCTTAAAGCAAAGAGTTTTACCTTTAACCGAAGTAATGATACAGGTCTTATTTTATGAATTTTGTTATTTTGCTTGCCAAAGCTTGCCAAAGGCCTCACATTCGACTTACAGGTAAAATTTGTCCGCATATACCAACTGGTTCGTGTCTTGTGTATGTGAAGTAATCGCCACAAATCGGAATCGTTTTCCCGTGAACCTTATCAGCAAATCCGGCGTAATACCTAATTTTTCTCGTGTATTGATCACGGAAAACGTTAATCTTGAATGGACACAAACCTGATGCATGCTATCGATAGGGCTACATCAGCAGCATACGAATCACTGTAGGGTTTTCCATTATCTAGCGTTTCTAATGACTGTAAGGGACTTTCAATGTAATGTTATAGATACCTAAAAACTTTACTTACTGCAAGAATAACATGGTCCCTTTCCATAAGATCCGCAAGTTTATTCAAAAGAATACCACGTTGCGTTGCGTCCATGGTACGCCATGGTGATCCGAGCCGAAATGCCTCGGTTGCAGCCTAGAATACAACAAATCATAATGAATGTAGAATTGTCATCAGTTCTTCTTTATCTTAGTCACTTGTAAATTGTTAAATTTTGATTCCATTCATCAGTACAAGGAGAGAAAGTACTTTATTGTTAGCTGTCGTTATATTTCGTTTCTAACGACTGTAAGGGACTCGATCTAAGCATTCTCTTCTCAAACAGACTTTGCGACTTGATAGGAAATTGCAGTCGCTTTTGTTGTATGTTGATTTTGTGATCTATACTCATTCACTGATTAGAGAACAAAATTGGTCAATGGTTTTAATAAATTATTTGTCATGATGCCACTGGTTTTCTTCGATGCACTATGATTATGAGTGAAAAACACGACCAGAGTTCACAAGATTTCCAATCGAAGAGGGCCAGATACAGATCAATGCTTGTTGCATCGTCTGCGTCAATGCATCATCTATTTGACGTTGTGATGTATTATGTAAGACGAGTTTTACTTTCTAAACAACAGAGCTACTATTTGAGGAAGGGTATAATCTGTGTAAGTTGAGCAAGAACAGGGTGTTACCCTATTTTCAGGTGTATAAGCCACACCCTTTTCGTTCTAAGGGCAAACACGCCAAAAGACTGACTGTCATTATGGAGCGCGTTAAGTGAGAGCAGTACGCGATAAGGCGACCGCTTCGCGAGACATATGCGCGGCGGCACACCTGGGTTTGCTCGCGTTTAGAACAAAAAGGGTGCGGCTTATACACCTGAGAATAGAGTAATACAATCTTGCATTCAAGGCAAAACTCATTGGGCTCATCAGTTTAACCTGCTGTTCTATCCTCCAAACACCCACTATCTAATTATCAAGCAACAACATCCCATTCTACATGCAATATTTAGACAATTGAAATGTGCGGAAATGTTATAGTTTTTGCTGCATACTTTGATCATGCCTCACAGAAAATTATATATATGTTCACAAACAATTTTCAAATCATAACGCAGCTAAGAAATCTTTTAAGGATATCTTCACCAGATGCAAGTTGTTCTGGGCCTCAATTTGCCTTCTTTGAAGGAAGATTAGCGAGCTATTCGCAAAGAATAATTCATCTAGACACAAGTTATTTATTTTTCTTCGCAAGAAAAGCGCAACATGTCTGCGAAAATAAAGTTAAGAAGAAGATTGGAAAATTGCTCGCAGAAATTTACGACGCCTTCAATACTGGAGAACGAAGCACAACAATCTAGCATTTGCATGTCCGTTTACGGGAAGCTTCGGTAGCTGTTTTTCGAGGTACTTATAGACCATAATTTAAAACTGCGTCTAATACAGGGTGTCCCAAAATGCACATTGTTTGATCGATAATAAGTTCTCTGCTTGAATGTCTTTCGCTGAACTTTAACTACCATTTCGTAGAGCGATGTTCAACTTAGATTTACAGTTTGGAGCGAGTCATCGATCTCTCTACTGTAGGATTACGGTAGAAATTTCGGCAAGGACTTCAGGCCATTGGATGCCATATTCTGCCTTGGAGCAAAATCAAACAAGCCAAAAAGTCTTATAATAAGATAATGGAAAACGGTGATTTTGAATATGAAATTCCATTTTATTGTGATGCTTCTTTTCCAAATTATCCCGGAAAAACCGTAATTACTGGATTCTCAGCATTTGTCAGGAATGTGATTGCGCCGTCAAAAAAGCTGAAAACACTCGCAAAAAATTGTGTGATAGAATCAGCGTGCGCAAAAACCCTGGTACACGATTTCCAGTTTTTTTTCTTAAATTTTGTCGGATGGCATATTTCGCCATGTCCCATATGCTGAAAGTTCTAAGCGTAATACAGTAAAGAAAAGTGATTCAGTCCATGCTGTAAATCTAAGTTGCTCGCTCTACATAATGGCACCTAAAAGTCCGCAAAAGACATTAAAGCAATGAAGTTATTAACGACCAAACGGGTGAACATTTTTTGGGACACTCTGTATATCCAAAGTTTTTCAACAAAAATAGAATAATGTTGTCCTAGGTGGCGTTTCACAAGCAAGGAAGCAATTCGGAACGTCCTGTATATGCAACTAGTGACTAACAAGCCTTTGGAATGATCACTCAAGATGTCTCAAATGATTTATCACTTCGCAGATTTTTTTATCCGGAAATCATAACATTTGCATTTTAAGGTGATGGTTTCTCACCCGTATACATGAACAACCCTGCGGCGAGAGCGACGTTCTCAATGACGAAAAAGCCGCAGCGGTATTCGCCCGCCGCCTCTTTGTAGTGGTGGACGCCGCTCCCTCGCCGTAGGGATGTTCACGCATACGGGCTTCAGACTCTCTAAGACTGTTGAGAAGGGCCCTTCAGTATTCGGGCAGATCCCGCAAACCTTCTAAAAAACGGAGTGATCAGTGCTTCTTCACCATGGAACTATTTCCCAAAACGACAAGTTCCAGTCTCTGTTCAGACAGTCGCTTGGACGTGGACGCATAACTTTAGAGCAGATCACTTTATAAGCACACATCCCCGGAGTTTAAAAAAAAAGTGTGGTTGTTGCCCCTTTTAAAAAAACAAACGGACATGTCCGCATTTGAAAAGAAAGGTGGAGGCATGTCTGTTGCGACAGGTCGCTGCGCAACTTGACAGTAAGAAATGGTATCTCATTTCAGCAGGAAAGGACTTTCGCCCGTTCATAAGTGCCTGTTTCAAACCATAAAAATGCTGGATGGATAAGAGAGCAAAAATGTACCTTGACAGCTTTGTCAACGTCGGTTTTGTCCGCTTCCGCTACCTTCGTAATTAAGCTATTATCCACAGGGTTGAAAGTGCCGAACGATTTGCCACTGCCAGCATCCACAAATTCATTGTTAATAAATAGCTGTAATTTGATGCGTAAGCGCTTATAGCGATACAAACATTGTTAGCATTACCTTGGTATACTGAGGTTTGATGTCCCTTATCCCTTGTGGTATCGAGCTTAAAGCTCGAATTTGGAATAAGCTACGCGAAAGGACTGAACGCAACATCTGTAATCTAAATGTCAAATTTTCCCAATCAGTGTAATTCAAATGAAATCAAAGAAGAATATATAAGTATATAAATATATAAGTATGAAAGAAAGTGGTATACAGTAGCTGCACGAAAGCACGGAATCATAAACGTACGAAAACAACTTTTTTGTTAGCGAAACTTTTCTTTAGCAACGATGATGAATGTATCGGCAAGAAAAAATAAGAAGTGACAGTTGTTTAGAATTTCCACCTCGATTCTCCTGCTCTATCATTAATATATATATCTCTCTCTTCCTCTGCAAACATTGTAATCATACTTCTTATAGCAGTCACGTAGTTGCCTTCACTGCAAATTTACAGCAAGTAATTATTTAGAGTTGAGAAACCACGACAGCTTTACACCAAAAGAAACACTTATTTGCCATGTTCTCATAGAAGAAAACAAGCTTATAGCGTAAAAACAACTTTAAAAGTACTTTCAAACGACCTCAAAACCAACCATGTTCGCACCTAACAATTTATGCTTGAAAAATCATGCATAGCCCCAACACTGCGAACGCTAGCGCTTCAACAATGTGATGCATGGGAAGGTTAGTAAATGCAACAAATTAGCTACAGCGAAGTAATGTGCCAGTCTTGTAGACAGCTGCACTAAGGTTGCCGCGGTCACTCCTCCACCTCTTATAAAACACATCGGAAGAATGGAATGCACACCCTTTGCTTATCTGCGGCATTTCATCTAATTCCAAAAAAGTACCTCCTGTCTTTTAGGGCAGCTGAGTAGGCTCGTCTTTCTGACTCCCATCGCACTTACAATATGGATTCAGAAAAATTAGTGATTGACTTTCAGGTGTTAATTGGTCGGTCAGAATTGCTCTGTACGCAAAAAGGAAATAAAGTGCTCTTTGATTTGCGAAAATCCTGAAGAATTTTAGAGTGTTGACCTATTAATGGCGATGTAGACCACCGCTGGCCCACACCTCTTGCGGAGGCATAATCTTTTCGTGGTCTTTGATTTTTTTTTGATTTTTCTGTGCCCGTGGTAGCCTACGGGGCTTTTCGGTGTAAACTCTATCGTTCAGAAAAATTCAAACAGTTTTTCATGAAACATCCTTACATCTCGTAAATAACCACAAAATAAACAACAACGAAAATGTTTTGCAATATCACATCGTTCCACATTGCTGCCACGCAAAATAAGGCGTCGTTCGTCAGTGCTCTAAAGGCAATGGCTCCGCAAATCCTCGACCTAAAAATTTGGTTATCTGGGGTAATCCGACACGCTGATCCAAAAAATTCCCTTCATAGAACGCGAATGTGGCGGAGACCAGCATTTGCCAAGGATACTCATTTTTAATTTGGACGAGCAGAACAGTTCCCGCCAACGTTGGCAGAGTCATTGCGAGACTTTTATGATTATAGCATTGCGGCATGCTGCCTCCGAGTTGGAAGGGAATGCGAGCTCTTCTAAGTGCCTGTAAGAATGACATGTGCGCACTGATTCAGGGAGGCAGTTTTCCTGGCAGAGGCAGCGTGCCGTGCGCACGTATTGGCACTGTTTCCACAATAGGGGTGTAAGCAACCTACCATATCAATGGTGTGAAACCTTCATTTTGCCGAGCCATGCCTTCAAGCTGTTTCAACATCTACTTCACTAAGTTGAACTGTTATCCAAATTATTCATGAACCGAATGTGATGGCGTGCGATGAATCCTGTGAGCAATGCAAGTTACACAAAGCTATGAGTAGCAATCAGCGGCACTTCATTCCAGAGACTTGTGTGGATGACAAACATGTTTTCATGCAACGGTAAACCTACCATGCCGTGAGCATAATCTTTTCAGACATATATTTGCTTGTTTCTTGATTTGCTCGCTCATTTAAGGCATCTCATTTAGGTGTACAAAAAACATTTTGATTGAAATGCATTATGAGCTTATAAAAAGCTAAAAATGTAGTTTTCGCTCCACATATAATATCCGATGACAATAGATCAAATTAGAAACCCCGAAGGAGCAGCAATTTGATTACGTAAGTATCTACAACTATAGTTGTTTGATCACAACGTCATCTTAAACATATCTAAGAACAGTGAGCAGGAAATGCATGTTTGAATTCAAAATACAGAGGAGCAAGATGGGCATTATCGGATGTGAGTGAAAATGAGCAAGATCACCCTGTGTAACCGACCACTTTTCACTGGTGCACATGAAAGCAGCATCTAAGCGATATGGCTGAAACATGCGAGTCTATGTTTACTCTAACTACCAACCGCCTCATTTCCTTCATGTTTGATTTGCATTAAAAAACCGAGAGTCAACGGCGGATAAGCTGTGTCGCAGTAACCACGATTACTTTGGAGGTCAGCACATGTAGAAAATCAAGTTATTGTACCGTGATCCAATGCAGAGTGCTGCGGTGTGAGTGATCTTGATTGAGCGCAAGTATTGCTAAAGGGCCGGTCATACCGCTCAGCGATCCATCGCCGCGATGGATGATCGTCGCGACTGGGTGGAAACTAGCGACGAAAACGCGCGACGGATCGCTAATCGCTCGAATAAGGGGGCATACTACCGCGGCGATGTGTGCATTCTTACACTAATTACATCACGTGATACACGCTTGAAGTCACGCTAAAATGCACCTAATGGCATTTTCGTAGCTGCTATTTTAATCAGTTCTTCACAAGCAGTCTAACTTAACGAGCAGTAACTTCAGATAGATTCTAAGCTAGAAAACTTTGTCTGTTATTCTTGAAAGACTTGCATAACTCTTAATAGAGCTGTTGGATTTGGTGGAGGAAGCACGCCTTTTTACCGCCTCCCTACCTTTTTAAAGGGGAAATCGAAGGCGACAGAAGCTGTGTTATGGATAATTTGGATATCTGGCCATAATTGAGCATGATAATAGAAATGCGGGTGAGAATCTGCTATGATTCGAACTTTGATGTATGGAAAAGAACAAAAAAAGTAATTCTGCAGGTCGCTCGTCTTAAGTTTTCAAGAAACAAAATGAACTCTCAAAAACAGTCGCAGATTACATGTCATCGTACGAGTCCCTGACCGAAATCTTAGAACCATCCTGGTTCGATGCTGATATACCCACAAATGAGGCATAAATTCTTCTATAAATTGTTTTATTCAACCAATTCAATCAGCAAGAGCTCTGGACTGAAAAGAAAAACAGAGGTGAAGTCTAACAATAAACTTTCCGCAAAAAAAACAAATCCGCTAAACAATGAAAAACAATTGCCTGTATCAGAGATCAACAGAAGAGAGAAACTTAGTTCATGACGTCAGCATATGAAGTATCGATGCCATATCCGAAATCGACATATCCGAGCACGAATCTACTCTATCAGCAAGTCGTCACAGCTGAAGCTGGGTACAGAGTCGCGGAAGCAGAAAAGTGGCCAAAGCCAAAAGAATCGGCGGATACCTTGCCTTCTTAGACAGCTTGGACCATCAGAACTTTGTTGACCTATAATCAGGTCGCATTTCCCGTTTTCTGCTTCACAAAGAAATCAATTTCCATTCAAGTCAGATACTCTTCCAAACGTGAAGGCAGTAGATAAGCGCATAGTGAACACCTTACATTGACAAGAGAGAAATTCTCGCGTGCGTGCGCGCATTTTTATGCCTGTTTCGATCTTGCCTGCATTTCACTGAAAAGCCTTTGATCAAAGGCTGTAAGGGTCGCCATACATATCCGAATACAAACATGGTTCAGATCACAGCCCGGCTCATGCTGAACACTCGCCACCTAAGCTTGTATCATCCGCTCTCACATCAGATTCGTGTGGAGGTGAACTTTTGCCAACTCGAAGCGTGGCGGTTTTTGATAGCGAGAGGTATACGAAAAGTAACACTATAGCGTGGGAAATTACTAGAGAAATCCCGCAATCCACCTTCACACGAATCTGGAAGCCGATCATTCTCTTCCTATACTACCACCCAATCCCACCTCTTCATGTGTAGATAGAATATGAAAAGCGAACGCCACAACAACATGAATCGTAAATCGGACACACATATTTATATTTTTGGGTTAAAAAATGATTAAGAACGCTTGAAAAACAACCAAAAAAGCGAGTGTTGAATTACTTCGGGACAGAGTAAGTTGCTGACTGCAGAGCAAAAGATAAGATAGTAACACAAAGGAATCTAACCTGGAGTTCGTCGAGAAATCCATCGAAGTCCACATTTGAACGCTTGCTTCCTTACCACAAAATTCTTCACATTTCACCAATTTCTCAGTGTCGAGCTCGATATTTGACATTTGCGGAACGATTATCCTGAAAGTACTTTTGGTATGATAAAACTGAAATTTTGTTTTCAGTTTGTAGCATCGTTAGCACATAGCAGAGAAATACTTAAAGAAGATCAATGTGTTCTGACAATAGTGGACTCATTTCCACTACCTATGCAAAAAACTAGCTACTTAAAGTGAAGAACGATAACAAAACCATTTGGTGAGGAATTGCAATCCAAGCGATGCGTCGCATCGCGCATTTGAAATGAGCGACGCGAATTCGCTAGGATGAATGACGATCGCGGCGATTTCGCTCAAATCGGTATGGCCGGGTAGAAAACGGCCCGCGATGCATCGCGCCGGACAGCCAGCACAGATACGCAGTTATCTCCGGCCTTGTAACACTTGTCCTTTGGGAAAGTCAGCCGCGCGATGGATCGCTAACCGGTATGACCGGCCCTTAAGGCAGTTGGTCTAAGCGGGAACATCGGTACAAATCTGTCATTCATGATTCACCCTTACAAGAGCCACATTTCCTACATGAATTTTACGCCATTGTGGGCGGGACTGCACTTCTGAGGTATACTTGCATGTCTTTCACACCTGACTTTCGATGGATTATCTTTCAATCATTTTCAAGATGATGAGATTCGCAATTCTGTCTGGAATTACTGGAAGTACGACTTGACACTGTTTGATCAAGCGTCTCTGCAGCTTGCAAATAAAGCTTACTATTGACCGCTTAACCCAAGCTCACCTTATAAACCGCCGATGGAATGATTTCCGGTCACTCTCATC